AGGAAGAACTCCAAGTACGGACTTGAGAAGTCCGATCAAGTCAAAAGCCTTCTGGCCTCCTTGCAAGGCATCATTGCTTTGGTCACCCTGTCTGCGCGGGCATCATGGTATACTCTCATGGATGCCTCGGTCATCATCGGGACTCCGGCTGTGCCTTGGCCATTTCTTGATCAGGGTTGGTCACCCGCAAATATGTACAAACACTGTAGAGTCGAGGTTGACGAATCCGTAGCTCTAAGATTCTTCATGACAGATAAGCCTTCCAGCCTTTGCTCACTTCATGACCCAACCAAATTCGCAGTTCTTTCATAACGTGGATGGTAAGTTATGACCTTGTGAGCAGAGTGACCGCTGATTTCAGTGTGCATGAAGCTGACTTACCACTTCGCCCAAGCATCGGCTCAGGATATACTGGATGTCTTCGATGAGGAGGATGCAGAGGTGATGGCCCTGCCATCGTCCCTCCGCGTCCGCGGGTGGTGCAGGGATGAAGGGGTGGGGCTCTCATCGACATGTCTGTGCAGATGTTCACTTTCAAAGTGCCGGACACAGCCACTTTCAAGCGCTGGTAGCTGCTCGACCGGTAAGAAGATATGCTTTCAAAGGGCCGAGTATTGAATGGTGGATTGGTCCGCACCATCCCCACTGTCAGACCAAGCTCATGAATTTGAAGCCAGGATATGTCAGTATTGCTTGGTCACGGTCCCTTTTCTCCACACCACAACATGAATTTGGAACTTTTCGGACGCTACTCCAGGAGGTGAAGGATCTTCTTGGCCGTATCGAGGTGGGTCTGGGGGTCTTGGGAATGGGCCCTGGAGCAGGGATTCCAATGGAGAGGGCTATATACTGTAGATTGTAGATCAAGATTGTGGTGATATTCTTGACTACTTTCAATGTCCAGCAATTCTTGTAATATATAAATGAAAGAGCCCGACCCTGCACTAGCCATTTCCCAGATGTGTGTTGTGGGTCTTTGCTCTGGACCAGACAGGTCATCATCCTTGATGAGCTTGATGAGCTGTGAGCCCAGTGGGATGCGGCCAGCTCAACGGGCGGCCAAGAGCCCTGCACAACTGACGACGGTCCCACTTCGAGTTTCGAGAGCAAACTGAACGACATGCAACGGCTTGAGGCTGTTGCCTAAGAACAAGTTCACTGGAAGGCGTTTGGCCAGGCTGGGTGCCTTGAGTGGCCTTGTTCATGCTGTGGCTGGCTGTCCTGCTGTGCTTGTTTGTGGTTGAGCTGTTGGTCACAGCTCAGACAGCACCTCCCACAGGTACCAAGATCCTGGCATGTGGCCTGCAGAGGGCCTTTTGAAGCGGTTGATGAGGAGCGAGCTTCCTGATGGAGTTAATGTTTGACCCAAGATCTTCCAATGCAAGTGACGCGCTTCACGGATTGTGCCTCTCCGTTCAAAGGTCAGATCCATGTGCTGTGGTTTGGCATTTGAACCCTCTCTTCCCTGACAACTAGAACGCTGACCGGAGGAATAATGAGCGTGAGTCCTTGCAGCTGGTGGCTGCATCGGCCACTGCCTACCTCTCCAGCCGTTTGAGGCATGTCGCAGGGAGTGGTGCATCCAACCGAATAGCGATGGCCTGCAAGCTACTAGCGATGGCCTTCAACCTAATAGCGATGGCCTCCATCCTCATCCTACTCTGAATGGTAAGGCATCAGCGAGGGCCACGGGCCGAGTCAGATCGGGCCATTCAGCTGAGGCTCGAGCGGATCCTACAGCGAGACAAGCTGAAACGTTTTCCTGCCCCTCTACCACGGCTGGTCGCTTGGCCGCACTAGGCTCCATGGGTTTGCTCTATTTGGCATGTAAAGAGTTTGGTGCCATGTCTTAGGTGGTTGTGTGTGCATACATATGCCATGCTTGAGTTCGCTGGGATCACATGCAGGTGCACCAATTTGGTAAATTTGAACCAGTTGGATCCAGTAGCCGCTTCTTCTCGTTTTGACTTTCAAATAGTGTCGGGCTCATTCCAAGATTTGCGTGCCATCGCTACAAGGAACAAGGACGCTTCTAGGTGGAGGCCATCGCTATTAGGTTGGAGGCCATTACTAGTAGTAGCAAGGACGCTACTCGTTGACTTGGGGAGGAGAGACTTCTCAGGACCCTCAACGGAGCACTGCAACAGTGGTTGAGGCTGCAGCAGCCTTGAGAGAAGAGGAAGACGTGGACGGGCCAGCCTTTGCTGTGGAGATGAGGACTGGAGTGACTCGAGATGTGCAGTGAGAAGGTCAGACTAATATTAGTATATATTCTAATTCTATTGAATTCTTGTTTCTAATGGCTTCTTGCTACTAGTAGTAAGGCCAGGAGCCCCTAGTAGCGTCCTTGTTCCTAGTAGCGATGCCCTTTGCTCCTAGTAGCGTATATATACATATATATAGATATATACACACACAAATATATATATATATATGTATACAGACATATGAAGGTGATGAATGACTTGCTGCAGGCCTGAACGACTCCGACGGCATGGTACCTACAGCTATCGCGCCCTCCCGGCCACCTGGCACAGAAGAAGCTTCCAGATTCTGAAGATGAAGGGTATCCAATTCTGCTAGCTTTTGAGGGGACCCAATGGGACCTGAAAGTGTTGCCTCATTGCAATTTGCCTCCATGAATGTGGACTGAAGTGCCCAGTAGTGACTGCCATCAGTAGCCAGCATCCCATTATATAGACGGTCTGGTCTTTTCCTATATATATATGTATTCTGCAGAGTACCTCTGAACTTGTGACATCCACATCCTTGAATGTTGTGGAGCCCGTCCAAGGAGGGTATCCAGCATTTCAGTTGGAAGGCCACCGGAGCGAACGGGGTGATGGTGAATCTGGGGAAGAAACACAGCTTTTTGACAGCTTCTGGGAAAGCCTTTGCGTAAGACCTCAGAATTACCTTGCTTCAGATGAGGATCCACTGAAATCCACTCATGGTGAATCTACTTATGGGTCGAATCACTGAAATCCTCGTGGATCCAGGTGCCACTGAGTGGGAGCCATGCTGCCGCTGTGGCAGCAGCGCTGGAGAAGTTGCGCCCAGAATCCGCGCTGATCTTCGTGTGCCCCAACGCAGAAGAGACGGTGAAGAGCGTGGTGAAGGCCGAAGACCTCGAAGGGAAAAATTGCTGGGACTTCTTGTAAAATGGTCAAGACACGTGCAATCCACGAAGAAAGACTCATGAAACATGGCAAAGGCAGCTCATTGCCCCAAACTCGTTCAAGGCTTTTGCCCCATCCGTAGTGCTTTGAAGTTTGGCTTGGCTAAGTAGGGGTCCTCCGAACCAGCTGTGCCAGGACCTCGCCACTGCTGGATGGTCAAACGTGGATGCTTTGTCCCGGATGTGCCTTGGCAGCGAGGTGCTGGACACATCACGAGGTTTTATCGCACCAGGATCAGATCGAGGAATGGAAGCAGAGTGGATGCTCCCCAAAGACCGGGGCTTCGGTTTGTTTTGTAGGTGCCCAATCATCGCTGTCAAAGACCGCAAGCCGCACCAAGCAAGCATGTGTCAAGTCTGTCAATGGCCAGGCTGTTTCCTGACTCTCGAAATACAGCTCCTGGGAAGAAGGCTTCTCAGGCGAAAGGAGAGGCTGGGCTGAGAGCCGAGTGAGAAGCAAGTTTAGAGTCGTAGCAAGGACGCTATTAGGTTGTAGGCCATCGCAAGTAGGTTGGAGGCCATCGCTACTAGTAACAAGAAGCTACTAGTAGCAAGATGTAGCAAGTCTACATACATGAATTCCCGACATTTGTTCTCTCCTGAATCCCTCCAACTGTGAGAAGCTGTCCATTGACACCTGTTCATTCCAGATGGAACTCTGGATGTATCTTCTTCAGATCGTTTAACTCTCATGTGACCAACCGCCTTCAAGCATGGTGGCCTTGGCAAGGCCAAAGGTTGGCGGAGTGCCAATCGTTTGGTGGACTTGCGGGACACAACCAGGTGTGCAAAGCGGATTGTTGACTGGGTCAAAGACAAATGTAAGATGCTCTGCGAGAAGGGGTTTTGCATGTGTTCAAATGTATTTCCTTGAGTTCTTGGTTTCTTGGAATCGAATCACATAGCGAGGACATTTGCTATGACTTCCCTGCGAAGTCAGGCGTGGCTACAGCACGGAGGGGGACTTCTACCGGGAGGCAGGCAGTTCTGCCTGGGATTGAATTGAAAGAACGTGAAAGAACGACCTTTGCTAGCTGCTGGCTTCTGACAACGAAACCTGCACAACAAGAAGGCTTGACAAATGGGCTTGGGTCACCAGCGGGCTGCATGGTCTGAATGAGGCCCCGATTTTCGTCAGCGCAGAGGACATGGCGCCTTTGTTCGGGACAGTTCCAGGAATGCACTCGCTTGAAAAGGCATATGTTTTTGTATGTTTTGGTCTTGGTGTTTAAGTGGTCTTCAGGTCTCAATCCACGCATATGTCGCGAGGAGTCAGTCCGTGGCCTTCACCTTGACGCAGTGCAGGCAGGTGAATTTGTGGTGAAGGATTCATGTGGTCAGTCTAATCAGCAAGTCGTCTTTCCAGATTTGCTCTGGCACACATTTGGCTGCTGAGGTTGTCTTCATCTTGGGTCTTCCAAAGACCGCTTCTTCCTACGTGCACATGGTCTGCCCTTCCTCCTGCACTTTGGGAAAGTGATGATCATTGATAGACTTGCAGACTTGATTGGGAATGTATACTTTTTGCTTGAAGGACTGGAATCGTTTTTTGTAGACTCCATTTGCAGCTTGCAATGACCAGCCTTAGAAGGATCAATGCCAACGTGCTTCACTCAAGCTAGTCGGTTGCAAAGCTCAACCGCTCGTAACAGCAGCCTCATCTCCGAATTGCAATTGCAGGTCTCCTAAATATGCAGACTGTCTATGATTGTCTCATGAGATTTCGGACATATCTTTACTTTGCCATCATGTTGAAGCTGCAACTTGTTGCTTTGCCTGATTCAGTTAAGACATCAATAGACCATAAGAATCCATCGGATCAGTTCTTGGGCGTTCTTCGCCTCCTTGAGATACATTTCCGCTTCGGGTCACATGGTGTTTGGAGCGTTCGCTCCTCTGTGGTGATGCTTTGGTGACGATGGGCTCGGCACTTAGCACTCCAGGACAACCCACCCAACCTCTCCTCGAATGTACAGAATTGATGCTCTCTGTTCTGAGTAAGATCGCAATGCCCTCTGGGTTTGAAGGGGGAATTGGTGATGTTCCTTGATTTACGAGTTATTTAGTTTCACTTCAAGTTCACACCAGAACTGTGTCGTTTGGTCTCACCGTTCAGGCGCCAAGCCCTGCATCTGTCGCTTGGCGAGTGAGCGGGCACCGGGCTTGCAGGTCTTGAAACCACATGGCATTGACCGTCGTAAAACGGACTGTGTCGTTCTCAGGGTGAATCAATCCGAACAACTGATTGCATCTAACAACTGAGCACGTCTTTTTCGAACTTGCAGTTGTTTGTTCGGGGTCTGACAGATGCAAACATGGCACATCTTTTTAGGGGCGGGTGCGGGTGGTGGCCTGCTTTGTTTCTAAGGTTTTGACTGCAACGTTCAGGTGTAGACATTCGGCTCCCCGAATTCATGCTAGTAGCAACAAGAAGCTACTAGAAACAAGTGCCACGCTACTAGTAACAAGTGCCTTACTAGTAGTAACAAGAAGCTACTAGGAACAAGTGTACGAATTTTGAGCCCAGCCTGACACGTGGGTCATTGCCCGTTCGATCGTTTCCTCGCGTGTTGTCTACTTTGGGGACCAGAATGCAGCTTTTTCCACAGTTCATTACTGTATACTTTTTTGTCATCTCCAGTCACTAGACAGCGGCAACGAAGACTGGCTGAATCAAAGTTTGATGCGCTCCATTTAGCCTAGCGCCCAGCTTTGATGTCCTAGCCCAGGCCTAGTTCGACTGCGTTAATTCCATGTTCCAATGCGTTTCGAGTCATTTTGTCACAACAGAATGAATGACGCGCTGCCAAGACCTGAGCCTCAAGTTGATATGGTCAGTTGGCCCGCACGAGCGTAAGAAATCGGGAAGAGAAGAGTGGATAGATCATATCTGGCTTTGACAACCCGTCCTCAGTCCACCGTGACTACCTTTGCGTCATGAAAAGCCAAGGTGTGCTCCGGGCCGAGGTTGACTGTCCACCCACAGGTTGGACACCAGCTGCTACTTCAGTGCTCAAGATCCAGTATGCCCTAAAAAGCAGGTGTAAACATATGTTTGGTAATTGTTTATGATGTACTGTGCAGCTCACTTCAAAACCTCTTGGGGCTCCCAGCCATTATCTGCAGCCCATTGGAGTGCACAATCCGAATCTCATCGGGCGCATCAGGCGATCGCTGGAGCTGTTGTGGCTCTGATGCCTTCTACAGGCCTGTTGGATCCTGTTGGCAGAAATCCCAGTATGGCTCAGACGGTAGTCCTCTCGCATTTGGGTAAAGCAGGAATGCCCTGAATTGTGTCAATGGAATGAAGAGGATTGAAGAGGAACATATTTGTCAGTTTGTGAGTGTTGTTCGTAAAAGCTCTGAGAATGTGCACACCACCAAATCGAGCCTCTCACTACACGCGCACACACACACACAGTGCCCGCAATTGATTGAATTGGATCGGTGAAATGCAGTGACTCTTAAACTTTCTGAGACAATGGACTGGCTCGAGATTTTGTCGAACTTTCCAACCAGAGCATGTGCAACATGTGAGAGTTAAACATACTTTACACACTCTTGCCTTCTTTGGCAAGGGATGAGTTCCTTGAAGAGGAGGCAGTGACAAATGAGGCAGGGCATGTCTGATCAAACCATGGCACTCCACCCCTTTAGCAAGTCAGATGTGAACTCCAAAATGTTTTATGGTTTTGTGGGACTTGCGGGAATTTTGGAGACTTGGGGAATTTTTGGAGACTTGTGGGTGTCACGTCAGATTATACAACTAGTCGGTCAGAGAAGACACATTTGATCCGTCTTCTGATGGAAAATGTCCGCTTGAGTCATGCGTCCAGATGGAGCAGCTTTGTGCCAAGATCCCATACTGTAGTATGTCATTGGATGCGCTTTGTAAAACAAACAAAAAAACACATTTTTTTGGCATTGGCAAGTGTTCTGGATTGAAGTATATGTTCTCGTGATGTATTCTTGGGCACAGCGTTGTTTTGGGTCGACCTGTGCACAGTGACACCGAGTCTGTTTTGGAAAACTTATGGCTGGCTTCTTCCAAAGAGACGAGGAAACCCATATCTCTTCACTTGTACCTTTTACTTGCTGTTGCCTCAGCGATGCAGCCACACAAACCAACTTAAGTCAACCCAATCATGGACTATCCAAGATGTCAGTTCTGTTTCCGGGGGTGCAGACGTCTCAAGCTTGTTGCTTTTCGCCGCTTGTCACGGAGTGACCCGGAGGGCCTTACGGGCAAGCTCTTCGAGCAAGCGGTGTTGAAGTCCATGAAAGGCGCTCGTCGCAGTGCATCGCGTTCCCGTGCATCGCGTTCCCAGCACAGAACTGGCAAGTTTGTTGAACCAGAGGGTTTTTGGGGTACAATGCATGATTTTAGGAAGAGACACTGTAAGTCTGTAAGTGTCAAGCATGGATTCGAGAGACGTTTTTCAAGGTTCCAGGCTGGTGAGTCAGACCCTGAAAATCGAAGACCTGATAGTGACCAATGTACAGGACAAGTCTTTTTGGACTACACCAAGTTCTCTGCAGTCCAAGCTGCTACTGCCTGGTCCTTGGCTCTTTGTTCATGTTACATGTTTGTTCCGGATGGCAAGCTGTTTTGGGCTATTTCAGCTCTTGCGGCCACGGTGTTGCACCGCATGAACCTTTGGAATCCTTTGGATCGTCTCAAGTTGTCGAACACCTCAAGGATTTTGTTTTGCACGTGTTTGCTTTGTCAACAGCTCGCCGGACACCTGAGGCCTTCAAGAGACGGATGTCGGGTGACTTCCCAGAGCCACAGGAGCGACACGAGCCATGTCGCCGGGGTTCAAGAGGTTCATACGCAGCCTGTCCCATCCAATAAGCAAATCATTCGCCTTTGGGGGCAGCAATGGAACGCTTTGTTGGACTGACTTGAAAGATTTTGAACGGCCTTTGATGGGTGTAGGACAGCCAGAGGGTTTTGACCAGTGGGCCATTGGGTGGTTGGGGGGATTGTTTGTGTGAATCATGATGCTGTGAGTATCACACCACCCAAGCCGGAGAGCTACAAGGCCAGCTACAAACCTGCTCAGCGGGTACAAACCACACAGCCCATTCTTAAGGGCTGCAGCTACTGACACACAGTTTGCACATGAAAACTGGCTTCACCGTGGCTTCACCACTTTTTAATGCCGAGATTCCTTTCTTGCTGAAAATTGGATAATTAGGCAAACTTTTACACGTAATTTCAGGATATTTCAAATTGACTTCGGCAATTGGCTGTACAACCACTTCCACTGGTTCAATGGCTGGCATGAGCTATGACGTACTGACTAGCAAACTTGTTCTTCAAGGGCTGTTCCAGTTGGCCCTTTTTGCCAAGTTCAGCTGTTTTTGCGAACCCAACTTGGTTCAGTCCAGCTGATCTTCTTGCCTCTCAGACTTTGGTGCAACCCCTTCAAGAGCCGGTCCCTTCGGCATCAGCCACACACCGCCATGGGAAGTAGCATGCAAAACCTTGGAATTGCCAGTTGCTCTTGGGATTCAGTGGCCGGCACAGGAGCTCTTGCCCCATCCCCCTTTGAGCCCCTCCAGCCCGACAAGTGCTGTGCTTAGATAATCAGATCTGAAATTTCATGCAAAGTTTTGAAGGTGAGGTTCCATGTCGAGTAACTCCACTCCAAAAACAAAAACGGAGACTCCTGGACGATACCTTTGGGTGGACGCGAGCTCGAATTATATATATATATTTAAATGGACCTCGTGAAAGGGGATTTTGCAAGGGGAAGCTGAGTCCAGGATGGGAGGAGACGAGATGATTGTTTTTCAAAAAGGGACTCATGTGGACTCATGTTTCCTTTGTGAAGCCATCCTCGCTGTTCCCCTGACATGTTGAGGTGCCTACGGCCGAACATTCTCAGACTGGACTCGCCTCTCCGATTGGGTTGGAAAAACCATGAAGGCAGCTGGGCCAAGTCAGCTGATTGGGTGACAAAATCTGCTCATAGCTTCAGACACTCTTTGCTGTTTCTCAACATGTCACGAAGACGCACCATAGCCAGCTTGCTATGGTATCTATGGTGAAGGCTGCGGCATGCATATTCTCGATGTACTTGTATGTTGTTTGATACAAGGGCTCCAAGTATTTGAAGGATGTCGACCTGCCAGCCACTAAATCAAACTGCCTACATGTCTTGTGTCTGGCAAGCGATTGTGCTTCCGGCTTGTGTTTGTGTGGCACACCCAACTTGAAGCAATCCAACAGGTTGTATGTGGAGGTTTACACAGGTGGTTCTTTTTTCTGTTAAATCCACATTTTCATGGTGCTATTCACCCGATGTGTGAGGAATGGAAGAAAGACGACCTTCCACCAAATCTTGGAGCACATTGGAAGAAAGGTGATGGTGCTGGGCTGCAGGCAAGATATCGATGTGCACAGCAGCATCTTTTGATGTATAGTTTATGTGCACAACAGAGTAACAAAGTAACAGTGGATAGTGCAACCGTGCAACCGCACCGCCTTTTGGGTGAACTTTGGTGCGTTTAGCTTCCTCAACATGCAGGTGCGGTCTGGGCCAGACTACGCCGCACGTCGCCAGCACATCATGACAAAGTCTGGGCACTTGCACCATGGCTTACTTTGTCATGCCATTCTGCTTCCGCATCAACAACAAACACTTGCTACATGTTGTATCATTTTGCAACATCATAGCAAGCTGCATTTTTTCGGATAGAAATCCATGCATCGTCCAAATTCTGTTTTGAAAGTAGGGTGCCTTGAGGGCAGCCTCTCTAGGACTCTAGGCAATCTTCTGGATGACACCCTGCCCAACTCCCAGGTACGACACGCTGACGGTGGATGCCGTGCGATCCTCCGAGCCCTTGCATTCCATCCTGGGCAACGCCGTGACTCGGCAGAGAGAAACGCGGCACAGCGAAGACCGGAAGGAACCGGAGGTGCCTGGGGTCCTGTCGAGTCTTTGTTGGATGTTGGTGGGGTTGGTCCTACCGGTGCAGGGTCAAACGGCGAAACGGAGTGTAACACATTGAGAGAACTTGCGGTCGCGGCCGCGGTGCACTTAGGTTGATTCGCCACCGCCGGCGACAGCAAAATGCACATGGAAGCCTGGCTGCCCCTTGCCACGGGTCTTGTGCATTAATGCGCTGCCAGCATGTATTGCCCTGGTTGGTTTGGCGAGGATGAGCTGTGTTTGGTGATGTTTAGTGAGAGACTTTCTGCTGCTCCCATGCATCAACATCATGCAACCATTTTAGCTCATTTTACTGGAACATTCAAAGCTGTTTGACTGTCTTGATTATCTTGATTGAAACACTCAGAAAGCCTGTGCCCGCAGTGACGTGCACTCTGCCTGGAACCACTTCGTGCCTCGCTGAGAGTTGCATCCAGGGTTCTGACAGGTGATGCTTCCGTACTACAATCCAAAGAACCCGTGGTCCACAGAGGACGGTGGCTGCAGCCTCTTTGCATCAACGAGACGCTTTGCACTTCTCGGCTTTCTACATCCAAAGCAATATGGACCCGAGTTATCTCAGCGGCAGGTTTGCAACGTAGATGCTTTGTTCTGATTATCGCTACAGTCCTTGCTGGGAAGTCCTTACCCCAAATCTGAACCACAAGGTCAATTTTCACCTTGCAAGCTGTTTTGACCGGGTTAGAACTTTTACCTGCAGCATTCAAGACAAAGAGGACAGGGTTGTGTCAGAGTGGAGTTGCCTCGCTAGTTCCGAGGTTATGTGGGATTCTTCCAAATCACCAATGAGACGGCCGGTTGCCCAGCGCTAGGCGTTTTTCTGTCCTAGAGCAAAGCACATCCCTTGTGTGCTCAACATGTGTTCTTGGACTTGATAAGTTCCGCTACTTTGTGAGACAACGGATGTTTCGTTTCTTCCGTGTAGCATAGGCTGGGCATTCAATATTTTGCATTGATGACATGTTCTTCATCCTGCAGGTTCTTCAAGTTGCCGCGGACAAACAAGATTCTTACGACTCCAACTGTAGTGTCAATATTTTCATGGCGGTTGGGATGGAGCTATAAGCTCAACAATCGTTTTGGACAGTACTCAGTGCTGTTAAAGATACATTACTACCCAGAAGTTTGGCAGGCAAACATCCATGCAGCAAGTTAAAGCTATCGAGGGGTATGACGCCTCTATATAAATCACCTCACACATACAGTCTGAAGGTAGCACCTTGGCTCCCACCCAGGCTCCTTGGCTCCAGGTCACAATCTCCAACATTTGCCCTCAGGTGGAGCAGGTTCAGAGCGAACAACCTCCACCCAGTGTTTCTCAGCTGAAATAGGGACTGATGACGAAAAGAGACACTGACGTGGAGGATCCGAGGATCGTGGATTTGCGGGAGCATTCTGTTTCATGAGCCCGAAAATGGAAAGTCATTTGATGCCTCAGGCACCATGTCGTGACAAGTTAGACAACTAATGGTCGCTACCAATTGGAGTATGCTCCTGGTTTGGTTGGTTGCCATGCCTTGTTTCTGTGCACACTCAAAACGAAGTGGGCCAAATAACAGTGTTGACGTCCTGCATGTGACGCAAATGGGTCAAAGGAGGTCACGCACACTGACAGACTGAGAGAGCTGGAAGCATTGGCCGAATCAATCGGCACAGTTCACCCAGGTTCAGATGTTCCGCAAATTCTTCGAAGGCCTTGCGTTCCGAGGAGTCCTGATCAAGTCGATGAGTCCCCCTAAGAAAACTAAGTTCGCCGGATATCTCACTGAACAAACAATCGAGTTTGCCCATAGTCCATAGTGTTTTCATGTGTGTTTTTTCTCTATCCACACCAGACCAACAGAAACAAAGCAAACTTGGCACACATATTTCATTCGGTGAGTTCGCATTCTAACAACTGCACGAAGCCCGTTTCTTTGTACGATATTCTTGATGACAATAGGTCCTTGATGGTCTTTGGATGACATGACATGTTCCAACTCCAGCTGCAAACCTCCAACAGTTCCACATTTTGGATTCCTTGGACCTTCTGATTGGAAGGGCTCAAATCCAGGTCCTGCCGGTTTTCCGGGATGTCCTCTCGATCATCCAGACAGGCATGCCGCATCATGCGCGCATGCGGTTTTGCTGGAATCGGATGACCTCACGCGCGTTCATGGACTAGAGAAAACGGAGTGCGGGATGGCCCTCCGTAGCCAGTTGTGAACGTTTCCCTTCAGATTCTGGCAAGCTAACTTGTATTTCAGTACTCATGCGCTCGCAGCTCTGGCCAGGAGCATGTATCGGCGGAGGGACCTCAAGAAATTCAAGGAACACGCATCGACGGGACACGCGTGACACGCGTGACGCATCGACGGAGTGGTCCGACACCCTGAGGACATGGACCCTGGGCTTCTAAGAGCTGCAGGGTGGTGCTTAAACCAAGCCGAGACCCTTGGCTGCAAGTCCAGTTCTGCGGAAAACAGGATGGCTGCACAACGACGGCGTCTGCTGGTTTTCATGTGTGGGATCATGTGGGTGTGTATTTTTTGGGGGGGAACCTCCACCACTGGGTGTACGTCGTACGTGGTCTTGGAAGTCCAAACGCCTGGGAGGTCCATTCCTCGTCCACGTCGCTTGAGGCGTCGTCGCCTTCGAGGACGTCTGTCGTCGGTCGTCTGTTGAGGCTTGGAGTTCCGGAGTTTCTTCATCAGTGACCTGGACAGCGACGATCGGAAGACCGGACCGTTGGCGTGGCCGGAGGGGAAACCAACGGTGGAGACCGTTGAGTCACGCGGTTTGGGAGACCAGTTCGGAGACCGGTTGGGCATCTGAGGTGACTAGACCACTAGAAGACTGATGAAGACTGGAGCTGTTTCCTGAAATGAGCTTTGACTCTACAAAAAGCTACCGATAAGAGACACTGCTGGGTGCTCGGGCGAGGTTCAATGGCAAGTCCTTTGTCATCGCGGACAGCGGTCACCTGGCGGTTCAGTGATTGCCCTTTGCGGGTAAAGCACGGCTTACCACAGAAGAAACACATTTCCCCTCTTCATATCCCTGCCAAAGCTCTCAGTTGGATCATGGATCATACTATTTTGTTATTTGGAAACAGTGCTACTTCCTGCTCCGTGGGTGGGAAGATTGTACACTTGCGACACTATGCAGCCTTAGGGCAGCATAATTAAACGTTCCAAGGTTAACAGTCAGGGGCACTAGACCGCGGGATTGGACCTGTCAGTCAAGTATATACAGTAAGTCAGTAAATCAAATGGTGGTGGCCAAATGTTTTGGGATCAGTACAACCTTACGTATGGTAGTCTTCCACTGGTCTTCCACCGCTATACAGCCTGGATGTGTTCCAACAACAATGTCTTCCACAGGGCCCTTCCTCAGACGGGTTCAAATACTGTTTGGATATTGATCATTGGCACCATTGCTTGCTTTGTTGTACGTACTGACTGTGAGAGAGTGCACAGACATGTCACGCTGGATATTTCTGGACATCCCAGAGGCTACGTCATCAAAGACACTCATGGGGAGTGGCTGGAGGTTGGTCTGGACCTCGGTTCTACTGAGGAGCCATGACTCTTTAACTTGTACATTGAAGCTTTGGACCGTGAAAGGGTTGAAAGCCTCTATGCCTCTTAAAAGTTGTAGCTGTCATGTGTAAGTGGCGAGCTCTTTTCATTGCTGTTTGGCATTCGGATTTGTCAGCCGTTTCTATCGCATATCAACCGATGAAAGAGGACTTTGGAGCGGATGTGCCTAGGCTTTGACGTGCGCAAGTTTCCGTTCCTCTTTGTGGCAGCTCGATGCAGCGACATGATTGGCTTTTCAAGTCAGAGTGTTTTTCAATTTTTGGTCTCGGCTTACTTGGAACTGGTGCTTCTGCATGGTTTTTCTTTGGTCTTTGCTTTGCTCACATGAGAACTGCCGGTCGCGTCGATGGGTTTCTGCACCAAGGAAGTGCTCTACAACTTTCGTGACTTCATTCCAAAGGTCGATAATGACATCCCAAGAGTGGCCAAGAGTGAGTGATATGGATCAGCTGATTGTCAGGGAGCGATGATGCAAGATGATGCAAGAGATGTCTTGATGTGACAAACTGGAGCGAGATTTCTTCAAAAAACGCAGATGCTTTTAATCGTGCCAGGCGAAATGTCACTATGGTTTCACGGTACAGGCGGGATAGAAGAAAGACCAATGGTGGATGAATCAATGCCGAGTTGGTTCTCAGTTGTTTGAAGGAAAGGACAAAAGCACTTCAATTCAATTCATGGCGCCATGGCACTATGCTTCTGTCTTGTCTACGAGTTTGGCTTTGCGTGCTTTTTGGTTCAGAACATGGAAGTAGCAGCGAGTCAGGCACATTGCCAAAGTATGGACTCGTTTACTAGTAACAAGGGCATCGCTACTAGGGGCTCCTGGCATCGCTACTAGGAGCAAGGATGCTACTAGGGGCTCCTGGCCTTACTACTAGTAACAAGAAGCTACTGTTACATGCTGATTGAGCGTGGAACAGGCGGTCGACGACGAGGACATGCCTGAAGGTATTGTTTGTGGCTTGGCGGGCGCATTTGCCTGAAGTGAGGGCCAGGGGTTGCGGTTGTGGTTATTGTGGCCACAAATAGATTTGCCCCAAGGCAATGCTTGGATTCTGCTGGTTGCATGAGCAAAACCTGGAATTAATTACTGTAGTAACTTTGGGGGAGAGCACAACCTGAGCGGTCGGTCTCAGACAAAGCACTTAGTTCAGAGCCCATGAACACATCGACATTAAGCTACTGTATTGAAGTTTCGGCTAGTCGTTTGTCGTTTGTCAAGTTGAGATCATGTTGACATTCTCCTCGTGCTAGCGGATGTGCAGCATATTGCAGGATGAGGTTTCTTAGGCCCCTAGCTTGCTTCTGGTGTGGGCGATGTTTCCGCCTGAAGAGCTTTGTGTGAAAGAACAGAGATTTTGTGGATGAGGTGACGTGTACATGTCGGGCATCAACATTATGGATGACCCCTTCGAGCTCCAGCTCTAGTTGGGAAAAAGCAGCTCGTGGGTCTTTGCACGATCGTTTGGAGCAAACACCCGAACGGAGACATTTCACGAGGTCTGTCACAAGCGGTTGGTCTAAATGTCGGCGCCCCTCGCAGGCTGGGCGAACGGGCCGTTTGCCCCATCCCTATGGCAAGGCGGTGATTGTGGCGCACGGCCTCTTGGCCATAAAGCCTAAATGTGAAGATGTGAAGTCCGGAGCAAGTCTGCTGCTTGGTCTCCAACCTAGTAGCTTCTTGCTCTTAGTAGCGATGCCCTTTGTTCCTAGTAGCTTCTTGTTACTAGTAAGGCCAGGAGCTACTAGTAGCTTCCAAGTAAGAGTATGAGGCCACCGAGACTTCACACTCTCTAACTAGTATCCTTGTGCGTAGAAGCCAAACCAATCACTGCATGGCAAACGCGTTCCTGTTTCTTCAAGTGTTTGAATGTGTCAAGCATCGCAATGTATCGCATATCGCGCTATGATGCACCGTAGTGGCTAGGACGTTTTGACAAGAAGAGCCATAGCTTTGTGGTGTTGGGGACGCCATGGGATGCTCAGATCGGCTCAAGTGGGACTTGACCTGGGCCCTCCCTTAGTTGCTCAGCTGATACACGCTCCTTCCATCGGCAGAATGCTCAGCATGGCCAGCTTCCTGCCAAGCCACGCGAAGGGAAGCATTGGTGAAGCCATGATTTACAAGATCTTCTATGTTGAGATCCTTGCCTCTCCAGATCTATGGGTATGCCCCGCACCCCTTTTTTGATTTTATTGCAAACTTGCAAATCCATATGAGCAGCATCTAAAAGGGTTTGCACACAAATCTTTAAACATATTTATGTGAGAGGAACTTTTGCATAGAAATCATGAGGGGACCCTGTAAAGCGAGATAGTGGACAACCAAAAGCGATACCCTCACAAGGTACACCTCGATCATTTGATTCAAACCTTATCGTTGCTTTTGTGGCTTTACATAAAGCGATACCTAAGCAACTCCTATCCTTAGATAACATGATGGTGGAGGATGCCTGATGTAACGCTCTAGAAAAAGAAGAAGGAACGGCTGCAGTGTCCACAGAGTGCTTGCTTGCCTGGGCAATTGCCGGATCAGATTCGACTTCGCCGGATCAGCGTCAGGGATCAGCGTCTGGGATCAGATTCCTTTCGGCCGGATCAGCGTTGTAGGATCAGATTCTAGCGGGACGGTCGGGATGGTTGGGATGGTCGAGATGGTCGGGACGGTCGGGATGATCGTGATAGCCGGTGCGCAGCCAGTTAGCAACAACAGTTGGAATATAGTTTATACTCGACCTCGCCGAATCAGCGTTATAGTTACGGATTAGCGTCAACGATATAGGATCCTTGGTCGGGATGGTCGGGACGGTCGGGGTGGTCGGGATAGCCGGTGCACAACCAGTTAGTTACAACAGTCGGCATAGTTTTTCCTCGACTTCGCCAAACCAGCGTAAGTTCGGGATCAGCGCCAACGATATAGGAGCCTTGGTCGGGATGGTCGGGATAGCCGGGGCACAACCAGCTAGCAACAACAGTTGGAATAGTTTTTCCTCGACTTCGCCGAACCAGCGTAAGTTCGGGATAAGCGTCAACGATATAGGATCAATTGGTCGGGATGGTCGGGACGGTCGGGATGGTCGGGATGGTCGGGACGGTCGGGATGATGTTGCGCGCGCGCCCGTCGAGTCTACGATTCCGATCTGACCAAATAGATTCCGATCCTTCGATTCCGATCTGACCAAATAGATTCCGATCCTACGATTCCGATCTGACCAAGTAGATACAACGAATCCGATCCGAACAACACCCTTGCTTGCCTGCCTGCCTGCCTACTTCCTTACTACCTTACCTTACCTCACCTTACCTGACTTACCTTCCTTACCTTGCTTACCTTTCTTACCTTGCTTGCCTACTTGCTTGCTTGCTTACTTGCTTGCTTGCTTGCTTGCTTGCTTACTTACTTCCTCCCTTCCTCTCTCTCTCTCTTTGTCTCCCTCTCCACCCATGTCCGTCTCCCTCTCTGCCCATGTCCATGTGTAGCTCAAATTTGTGGTGATTTCAAGAGAAAGTCTGCCGAAAGACGATACAGCCATCCGAAATGCTGTAATTGAGATAGCGAACAAGAACATGCGATACCAACATATGGAGCTACGCTTTTTGTGCCCATAGGTTTTGGCCCCCGCTCATATTGGGGTAAGCATATGACCAGCTACATTGAGTATATATATATATTCTTTTCTTGTGGTGGTCACTGGGATGGTGAGGATCGAGCATCCATTCCTTCGCCGTTTTGTACAGCTGCTTCATTTCGTCCTGGCTGCACCCTGGTTCATTGTTTGGTGGGGCTGGGAGCGATACTTTGAGATGGTCCGCTTCTTCGTGGTTTCCGCCCATACCTTTGAACTGGACTACAAGGCCATCCTGACTCCTTTGCAGATCAAGGGAGTTGTGCACGTGGGAGCGAATGTGGGCCACTTGGCGGTATCCCACTGACTTTTGCTTTGGAATGCGATCAGATTGGTGTAGTGCCACATGCTGAAGCCTAACTTAGAGTAACTGATATAGACTTTTCTATAGTGCCAGGTAGTGCATCTCCCAACATCTTAGGTCAAGAGGCAGCGGTCTACGATGAGCTGGGCGTGCCGAAAGTCCTCTGGATTGAAGCACAGGAGGACTGCCGAGGGGCCCTGGAGGGAGCACTCAAAAAGCACCATCGTGATGAGGATGTGGTGGCCATCACAGCAGTATCTGGCGAGGAAGGCTCTGCCACCCTCTTCCAGATGGACAACTCCATCTCGAGCTCCTTGAAGCCATTGGGCTCTGGTCACAAGCATTTCTTCCCATTCATTCAGCAGGCGAAGACACAGCAACTGCAGACAGAGACTCTGGATGGTTTGTTGAAGCGCTTGTCCTTGAACCCCCGCGAGTTCGACTTCATGTATTTGGATGTGCAGGGCAGTGAGCTGGATGTGCTAAAGGGAAGCACAACACAAGTGCTTCCACATATTCGCTACCTCGTCACAGAAGTTTCAGCAGAGGAGCATTACAAGGGAGGTTGCCTGGAAAAAGACCTGCATGAATTCTTGGTTAGCCAAGGTTTTTCGCTTGTACAGAGGCACATGCCTCCCATTGGGCATGGCAATTCCTTCTACACCCGTGAACAGTAAAGGCAGTAAAGGCAACGTCCTTTACATGCGACCCATCTCTGCCGCCAACCTGCACCCAACAGCAGGCTCGACTGTGAAAGTCGACGGATGTGATGCACAGTGGACCAGATGTAAAGGATGGTCCTATGAGGTGCTCTTGGTGGCATGGATTTACAAGGGTAAAAATGGTAAAAGGATTCAAAAGGAAGAAATTGAACCACTAATAAGGAGAAGAAGGGCTTTGGAGGCTTTTTAACCAGTCCATCGTGGACACCCAGAAAAATGGGGACCCATTCATTTGAGGCCGAGAGGTGGCGAAAGTCACCAACGGCTTCATGGATGAGATTGGCATCAAATGTGAGCCTTTAGCAATGGCCCAAGAAGCAGACGGAGTGACGTGGGCCATGGATGGCCATGATTAACCTCTCCTTTATCTTGGACTCAAACCCATTTGGCCAAACATCTCGACGTCCAACATGCCACGAACGACGCGGTGAGAACTGCGTTTGCCTGAACAGAGTGACTCGTTGGGGGAAGTTTTTCGCTGAAAAAACGCCCAGGGCTGGGGAAGCCCACGCTTGTCCGGAACCTAAGTCTTTTGGAGACATGAGGAAACGCTTAGTAGTACCCTTTGGAGTTAGGTCATGCATGCTGAACAACATGTCCCATTCCCACTCTTCCACGTAAAAGGGTTTATGTTCTTCCAGCCTACCTCATTCTCATGGAGCAGAGGCATATTTGTTTCACAAAGCAGGTCATGAGTCCTGAGCGAGGCATCCAACCAAGGAAACAGGTCGGTGCTATGTCCTAAAGAACCCCTCCAAAAGATGGATTTGGAAGCAGAGCCCACACACTGACCATACTGACCTATATTTGGAGGCAATGGTGTCCAATTGTGCACCTCGTTTTGCTCAGGGAAGACGTCGCCGATTTGGTGGATCCTACAAGGAGGAACCCGAAAGTTCGGGTCGCGGACCACTTCCATTTGTCGTCACTGTTTTTTGGGTTAAAGGTGTGGTTTTACCACGTTGTGTCCACGATGCAGATCGAACTTTGACCATGTGCTGCCCTGTCCGGTCACCTTGTCTTTGGCCGTGTGACCGTTCCAGGAGCTCACACACTTGGCTTGACGATCTACAGTCCGAAGAGGTTCGGATTTGGTGAGTCATTAAGTCAACGAGTCAGCTCACCTCAATGACAAGCTGAAAGTCAGCTTGCTGAGATGAAGCCACCTGGCCAACCCTGGCCATCTCAACATGTTTTCAAGCCTTGGATGTCTTAGGCTTGATGTGATGGATGTGTTGAGTTCGGTGTGTTTCGAACATCTCACAGGAGAAGCAGCAGCAAAGAAGTGAGGCAGTGGCACGGACGATAGACTTGATATGACTTGATGATGTTTGTTTGACATTGTATCCAGGAAGCAAGAATTCAATTTTCCACTGAGCCTCCCTGGAACATAAATCCATTTGAAGCAATGTTCTTGACTCTTGACACTCCAAGGTGGACAGAGATGAATGAAGCTTCCAAGATCTTCATGTGCAGGGTATGACATTTGGCAGACCCAGACGGCAAAAACCACATGTTTTGTACTGAAGTGGATGAGTTTTACCATGCGCATGGGGGATTGATGTGGTCCAGGCTGGCAGCCGCCTGGACGCAGCACTGGGCCCGCCGGTGCGTCGTTTGAGGCGAATAGAGTTGTCTCAACTACAGTAATTAGACATGGCAAACCTTGGCAGGATGTCCAGGGATGCTCCAATCAAAAATGAGTTTATGAGTTGGTGAATGGCCTTTCAATCTGGTTGCTTGACACCTTTGGCCGTTCATTCTGTGGCGCTGATGCTCAGGAGAAGCTGGGCGAAAGAAGTGGCTCCTCCGTCCTGATTGAGATGAAAAGGGGCGAGCTGAGCATCAGCGTTGAAAGGAAAGACATGCTGAGTCCACCATCCACCAAGGTGCGAACTAGTCTCAAGACCAGCATCTCTATAAAGCACATTTGGTATCATGAAGAAGCTGTAGGTTTTTGCCACAACCAGAGCTTCATATGATCACGTCAGGCAGATTTCCTTAGATAGTGTAGCCTGTTGTTGGGAATCCAGCCAGACCCTGGGATCCATTGTCTACCATCTGTTGCCCAGCCTTCGCACATCACCTGGCCCTGCCGCGCCCTGCGGCCAATTTGGACCAATTACAGCTGCCATAGAAACAGTGACAGGCTGAACAAGGGATTTGAGCAGTTTACTGAAGGATGCTCAGACTGAAACTTACACTTTGACCGCAATATGTTCTTTCGAGTGTCTCGCGTGATTCGCTTTGGGAGGACTTGAGTTGTCTGGGAAGATTGCATTTGACTCTTTTTGGATCTTTTTGGTATAAGTATGGACTACAGTGACTACAGATTTCAGTGGAGCCAAGTCTCACATTGGATGGCATCGCTCAAGTCTTGATTCAGCAGGCATAAACCACTAAGAATGATCATATATCTCAGTTATGAGTTATCATGCTGTCCCGTTCCACCGGCGATGTTCCCCTCTGACAGGCAGTGTGATGGCCTACTCCCCTGCACGAGGATCGCCGTCACTCTACCATCGAAGTACCCCTCTTCGAAGACACAAAAGAGCGGGTGATAAGACAATGGAATGTGTGAGCTAAAAGCAAAGAACACATAAGCAAAGAACACATAAGAAGCTAGAAAAGGACTTCAGGCAACGTCTTTGCCCACCTTCAAAGGGATGGGTGGCACCAAAACTCAGGTGCTAATGGTGCAGTGCTAAGAAACTGTCCTTTGCAGCTCTTTCGCGTCGCTTCGTATTGACCGTTGCCATTCTCATCTCCAGGCATCCATCGAGTTCCTCCCGAGAAGGATCGAGTTCGCCCCGAGAAGCAGTTCAGTGGTTCGATCGGTTCGGACATGCAGCCAGGGTTGCCCAGATGGGCGCGCACGGGCACATGGACGGTTTGAGTTTGGTTTCTAGATATACCGGATCCTGATGGATCCAGGTTCCAGTTGTGAGCAGGTTTCGATCCACCGGCCAAGGGGCCCTAATGAATATCAATGAATATCAACTTTGTCCTTCGTTTTTGGAAGAAGGATCAGTGAATCTCCTGAATCTGCAAAGCAACCATTAGAGATTTCATGACCAACGGAGCATGCGGAGCTTGCCTTTTCGCACTTGGCCCAGGTTACCTGCAACCCGAAGTAGTTCAGGCTCGTGGGCTCCAGCGTTTGGATGCCTTCAACGGTGGGTGAATTGGTCTGAGACTATTCTCACAATTTCCAGGACTTCCATTCAAAAATATCAAAAGGCAATAGAGTTGCAGGTTTCTTTTCTTGTGGAAGGTTTGTTGACACCGCAAATTCATGTAATGATATTCTGTGGGAGTGCCGAAACTTAGCTGGACAGCCCGGCACATTTGGCACTGGGAGTTCCACACTTTCACTGTGACTTAGTCAGAGAACTCCCTTGGCACTTTGCACTTCATCCTTTGTGGGTGCAAAGATTTTAAGGGAAGTCATCCAGACAGGATCCGGCTCTCCCGACATCGCAGGACCAAATCTGCGGAACCTCTCAGGGCCTCTCACGCCCGCTGGTCGCAGCACCAGTCTGCTGGGATCCTGGTAGGAGGGCCATGGGAGTCGACCACGAGGCCACACAACTTGTTTCATCGACAGTCCACACGACCAGCACTAGTTAGTCACTAGTTGGGTATTTTGGAAGGACCTTCGCTTTGAGCAATGGTATCCATACGGAAACAAACACCATGACACTTGTGCTACGACAGGAAGTGAGAAAGGTGGATGAACCCCTTGAATCTCCCTGATATTGTGTACAAGGATGACTTTCCATGGAAAGGGGCGAGGAGATGGACAACTTATTCATAATCCGCTTTCTTTTTTCTACATGAGCCAAACCATGTTCCAAGCACTGATGCCATCCAGCATCCTTGCCATTGAGACAAAGAAGTGGTTTGAGGGACCCGAAGGTGGACCCTAAACTGCCAACACCTCAGTAAACATCTCATGGCCATCGACTAAGGCGTGTTCCTGCTGGCACTCCTGCGAATGCACCATCGACTCCGCTGACACTGCCTGAAGGCGCTTCACGGGCTCCGCCCGGGGATGTCCCCACGCGGCTGTCTAAGAGGCCCAACTAGACGAAACACTGAATTTATGCAAATGTGCAATGATTCTCTTCCGTACCGACTTCACATGCTTCCCGTATCTTCCAGTCTTATAATGCTCAGAACAGTCCAGTATATCGGGGCGCTGGAAAGTTGAGGAGCTGGTGGGGTACTTGAAAGTCTTTGATTTTCAGTGAAGGTTCTTCCACCCACCCTCGCTGCTCATGTTATTTTATGTTGCCTCCCCCAAACTACTTTGTACATCTCGGACCCAAGCAGGGCCTTAGAAAGAAGGATTGCTTTCTTGTGCCTTTGTGACTTTGGTTTATTGGGTGAACAATAGCGAACATCCTCTCATGAAGAACCGCTTTGTTAGTTTTTGCAGACTCAGGGTGCTCCAGTGGCCACCCGTGAGTAAAGTTGATTGATCATCTATGGCCCATAAACTTCCGTTCACGAACGAACCCGTTCCAACACTTTGGACCCAAGGAGTGCTGTTGTCCCCTTCGTTCAGGTTGAGTGTTGCGAAGAGCTGATGAAAGACATGTTTCTGCTGTGCAGACATCGACGTCGTCAACCCTCATCACTTATTGCAGGTGCATTGGCCACCTCCAATGGTGCACCAGTGACCGCATCGCCAACGTCACAGGCGAGTTGGTCAGAGTGAAAGGGAATTCTAATGAATTCTGCCTCAGCTGAAAAGCTTGTTTCTAATAGCTTCTTGTTACTACTAGTAAGGCACTTGTTACTACTAGCGTGGCACTTGTTACTACTAGCGTGGCACTTGGTGATCTACTATGGCTATGACTCAAACATGGCAATGTTGGCTTCGCCCAGTCTGGCCGTGCGTTTACACCTGTGACACCAAATGCTCGTGCACAGCCGGGAGCCTGAGTGGATGCCGAAACTTTCAACATATGCAGCAGAGTCGGTGTTGTATTTGGAATATTTCAAGCAGTGAATCTTGAACATCACTTTAGTTTGTTCTCCTGTGGCACCTTGTTTCACTATGTTCGAAGACTTAACTTTGTCTTTTGCCCATGGAACGACTGAATCCATTCGGCTGTACCTCAGGATGGTGGCTTCGCTGCAGAACGGGTCTCTTCCTTTTGGCAGTGAAGAGCTCACCTTTGGCGTGTGGCGTCGAGATGCATGGGCCCCCAGAGTGATGAGAGGTTCATCTTGTTCGGTACACATGAGCTATCATGAGCTATCATGAGCTCATGCACTCATCACGTGCCCTTGAATTTGCTTGATCACAGTCCTTCTACAAGCTGAACTGGGTAGCCGCAGCTGCTTTGCTGACGTTCCTTCCGAGATCTGAAATGTTGCCCGTCAACAAAGGAACCAAGGTCATTCAGAGGCGAACCTTTTCTGAGTTTCATATCCGAACCCATCACCTCACACATATCTACTGTATTCTACTGTATAACTTCTAGGTACAGGTAGAGGTCTTTGAATGCCTTGGGTGACTCTGGCGCTCATCGCTGGGCAGGCGCAGACCCCTCCATTGACTCTGATTTGAAAGTAATTAGTGCTCGAGGACCGCCTTTTCCATACTTTCTCCTGCCCTTGCTTATTTGACTGTATGCCACCACTTCATAATATACAAGGTGCAATCTGTTGGCAACAACAACAACAACATTGATCTCCCAAGCAACCAGCTGGATATGTCCCTACCCAGCACATTTGTGTCAATATCTAACAAATGGTTGCAACTGATGAATCAAACAGGCTTTTGGATGTTTTTAGGTGCATGTTGATGCGGAGGAAGGATGAGGAAGCATTGGGCCTTCCCTCAGACCCCTCCCAGCTGTTTGGATTTGAATAAGAATCTATATGTCCACACTGATCATACTTGCGCTGATCGTGCTTATTATATACCTGCCTCCAAGCGAGCGTGCTTGTTCCATCCTACGTTTCCACTCGCCTCACTTTTCACACCTTTGTGATGCTTACAACAATGACGCACGTATATTCACAGTACAGTAATTTCAGCACTTCATTGGCTTGTGGTGTTCCTTTGGCCGCTCGACGCTGTAAATGCACAGGTGGAAAGTTGCAATCAACATGGATTCGCATTTGGCTGGTTATACTGCAATCTATGGCTACAGAAAGATGTTTGCCAGTTTGTGCGTGAATGGTCAATGTTTTCCGTTTCAACATTTCACATTCTTAAGTTTTTCCTTTGTAAACCAAGGTTGCAGATCTGCACATGCTATTTCAGGACCTGCGGTGGGTCAGGATGTCATGTCCTGAAAGTCCTATTGGCAAGATCTGGCAAGACCTCGTGATTAAACCACTACGAACAAGATTCACGTACGGCTGGAGGCCAAGTCAGTCGTGGTTCCAACTCCCAACCGGCAATGTCCAGGAGAAAAATGTGGAGGAGGAGACAGTCAGGCAGGATTTTTCAGCAGTGACAATCTCCCACCCTCCATGATCATGGTTCAATCAAAAAGGCTATCATTTGTTTTCAAGCACAAGTAGTAAATACCAACATGTCGTCTTGCATGCGAGCCCGGAGGCCTCTGGGTAGTTTCTCCTCTTATTGTTTGGTGGTACACGCATAGTCTGCGAGCGTCAATGCCACAGACTCCAAGTTTGCCACCGTGATTTCTTGTGAGGAATCTGGGTGAGCCCGTGTTTTCGCTGGGGTGGCCCAGTAGTGTGTGGAGAACTTTGAAAGCAGGAAAGCAGCCGCACCGCTGCGCCTATGTTTTCATTCCAATTCTTGTGATTTTCAAGGATGACAGGTGATATTTGTATGGTTCCACGATGGCTACGGTTATTTAGAAATGTAACAACCATCTTCAGCCAACAGCACAGCATTCGACATTCCAAATTGGCCTCCACTTCTAAGGAGCGTGTCTTTCTTGCTCCCAACAGCTTCAGCCACAGAGGAGGACTCTACTGCATGCTGCAAAGGCGAGGTTCCTCCATAAAACCTGAACCTGCAGAACTGGGCCTATTTAACACACTCAGCCGTGTGTGGTAGATGTCCAACATGAGTGTTGAGACTTGTTTTTAGATTCAACCGCCATCTTGCTGGAAAACCAGAAAGCTCCAGAATCTCCAGTCCGGAGTCAAGTCCGCATTCCGATCTGTAGGCATAGCGCATTATCGACCCCAGTCGGAGTCTCAGTGCAATGTGAACGTGATACATTCTGCAAGCATGACTTTGCCATTGCAAAAACCATTGATGGTGTGGTCCAATTACGTCACCGCTTCCTTTGACAAGTTCATTGATGGGAAGACTGTTTTCCCTGTATGGGAAGCTCAAACAAAAGCAACACGGTGCACAGTTGTTTTGCCCCGATGACACACCGAACAATTGGACGCTTAAAACCCGACAGCTGGGTGGCCAGGACCTACGACTGGCTGACAGGGCGGATGTCTACATCTAGAAAGGCAGGGGCTCGGTGTTTCATATTCAGCTTAAATTTGAGGCCAACAATTTCACCATCATACCGGAAGAACAGGAATGTCCAAGTGATGGTGGTCCCAAATACGACTATATATTTGAGGGGTTCTATCGCAAAATGGAATCTTGCATGCTGTGAGCGGGCTTTAAGTCCAGCCCTTAGCTGATTCAGCTGCCTGACTTGCACTTGGCAAGTTGCGAACTCGTCAAAATGAACAGAGCACGAACGCTGTGCCCGCAGCACGTCCTCGTGTTCTTCTTCATGGTTCTTGAGGCTGGTTGTGGCAGGAGGAAAAAATATAGGTCTCATAAGAAGGGGCAAAAAGCAAAGAGACAGTCAGATAGTTCCAGATTCCTCAGAGGAAATATTGGGATGGACGGATTGTTCCTGCAATGGTCTATATGGAAGTGTTGTATATTGTGTAGCTTTCATGGGTCTTGCTCCATCTACTGCTGTCCTTGGCTATTTGCTTTTATTGTGTTGGTGGCAGGCATAGTGGCATTGCTTGACACTCTTGTTAATTCACTTCAACTGCCTCATGGAGTCACTTGAAATCAAGCCATGTAAGGAAGAGTATCCTTTGATACCTGAGATCCCTTTTCATTAGAGCAAAACGTGAAAGAAATACTAAAGAGCCGCCAGGGCATACGCCTAATTTTGGCGAAGCGTGCTTTCATTCCAGGCTGGGTTCAATACTTTTGTGGACGCAGAACCTCTGTAGAACACGCGTTGGTTGGTTCAGCCGTTGTTGCAATCTGTTAGTCATCAGCGTGCTTGACGACGACGACGACGACATCTATCCAGCCATTCGGTGTGTATCAGTGAATCATTGTCGACCTGTTGCTAACCAGGCATCAACATGCTATCTATCCTGGTAGTTGAAAATCTATCTTCCTTCGCCCAAGCCTCAGCTTCAGGCGAAAGAAATTGTCTTAGAGTGGGCAGGGGGTGCCTTCTTTGACACCATAGATGGCAACCATGGGTTGTAACGATGAATTACAGTAATCCTTTAGTTCAGTCGCTATAGCATTTTGGTGTTCTGTTTTTTTAATTTTATTTTTTCCGAAGCCGCGTGTGTTTTTCTTGGTGTCTTGCGGAGTTTGGGTGTGTGACATGTGAACACGGCCTTTTTGGAGCCAATGGAGTGGAACTCTCGGCGCACAGCAGCGACGCAGCAGTTTCAACCGGTCAAGACAACGCAGTACCGAAAAAGCGGCCCAAAGAGATGTGCGGCCCTCAGGACAACGCAGTCACTCATAGCAGGTCGGAGTTCGGAGGGGTCTTACAAGATAAACATGTCGTGATTTGTGGGGGAGAGTTTTCAAAGTGTTGATCTACCATGACACAAAGTATTATTACACCCGCCAACCTGCGCATTAACTCACACAAGATGTTGCTGTTCAGGTGAGTCGTCTCACCCGTCGTGAGTCTTTCTGGTCGATTATTTAGATTTTCTTTGCCCAACTTCCGAAGTCATTTGGATTGTCGCTGTCCTGAATTTGATCTGGGGGACGATCGCATCATCTGTCGCCCCTGCTTTCGAGGTTTGGTGGCATCATCAGTTGGTTCACTGATCTGTTCAGATCTTTGGGACTCCTTGCACAGAAGTGCCTTGGCAAACGACAAAGCGCCGGCTTGTTCCGATCACATGTGAGTTCCAACAAAGCAGAGGACATTTTGGGCAAGTCGAGGTTGGACTTAATAGTTGTCCTTCCATTCACAAACAACTAGGAGCAAGGACGCTACTAGGGGCTCGGCCATTCCGTGAGGCGAGCAAAGATTTGTTTCCTTGGCCTGGACAATGCTGGGTGACTTGGCTGGAGCTTGGCGACCCATCCAAACTGTCGATTGAGAATCTTCCCTGTGGTGTCTTTATTTTGTAAGCCCGCCCTTACTTTTATATACTTATATAATATTAAAATATATTAAGTAGGAGATAGTAGGAGTCTTTTTAGCCCGTGGGGTCCGGGGGGATAGGTTGAGAAGAGGAAGTAGCTAGGTAGCTAGTAGCTTAAGTCGCTTCTACTTAGGACGCAGGATAGCTCACGCTAATTCCTAGATGTTTTTTGAAGGGCTAAGCATCAAGATGCATCAAGCCTTGTCCAAGGAAAACCACGCTCCTCCAGATGTTGCGCGATGGCCGCCTATCTTTGAATGCCCCAACGCTCTATCCGAACAACGAGGCTTGTGGGCTCCCAGAAATGCCGCCGCCGCCGGCAGCAAGTGTTTACGAGTCGAAGTAGGAAAGTGCAAGTGTGAATGGGTGATGTTGCTTAGTGTTGCATGCCGTTGCCTCACTCTGGAAGTAGAGTCATGTACTGTAGATCAGGCGCAAATCCGCTGCATCTCCCAGGAGCTGCAGATTTGCGGCATCCGGTTCCGCACCTTTGACTTGGGTGGCCATGAAACTGCTCGACGAATTTGGAAGGAGACTTGGGATGTTCCAACAGATGAGCGGTGGCTGAGGAACTGTATTGGATACAGTAAATTGATGTAAATTGCTTAGAAGATGAAGAAGAAGAAGAAGAAGATGATGATGATGATGATAGACAAATGCTATAATATGCTAGATGAAATGGTAGCAGAGCAGAACATCCAGATCATTTCTTCGAGAACCTCAGTAAAAAACATGACGGAATTTGGAAGGACTACTTGACAGCAGTGGACGGCGTCATCTTTCTGGTGGATGCCGCAGATCGAACACGTTTCGAAGAGGCGGGTCAGACCTGACAGGGCCCGACGACAGGATGACACAGCGGTCCAATGGCCAACCACCGGGCGCCGGTGCGGCTGAAGCGGTCGAACAACGACGAACGTGAGGTCACGCAAGCTCGCAAGGGAAGTCGGATGATGCGACTCGGCTCCCTTGCTTCATTTTGCTTGATTGAGCCCACCACAGCAACACATCAACTGATCATCGCATGATATCGCTTGTTTCGTTTGTGGACGTCCTTTTGCCAAACGTTTTTACTTCGGGAGCATGGCCCTTGAACTCAACCAGTTCCCTAATTTGGCAGACCAACTCGATAGCTTTTGTTCACTTCCGAAGCCTCAGTTGCCTGCCGCTTGTTTGTGTTTCTTCTATCAACAATGACAGCACCTCACTCCAACCGCCCTTTCCACAATAAGTTCCTTGGATACAAGACAGGGAAGGCGGCCCATGGATGCCAATGGGATTCCAATTCCGGGTCCGTCCTCCCTGGGAGTCTATGCGTGATGGACGTGCATCGCTTGGTCAGGCAGCTGAGGAGCTGGGGCGCTTGCTGGATGATCCAGCATTGGCCAAGGTTCCATTCGCTGTCCTAGGCACGGAAGTGTTGTGAGGTCCATTCAGCGTGGTTGCTTTGCGTGGTTGCTGTGCGTTTGCTTCACTGATGGCAAAGGTTGAGGAGGATATGCTTGCTTGCTGTTCTCGCCGTGGGTGAGATGAGCCAACCTTTGGTGTCCGCCCACGGTGTTTTGATACTTATCCAGCGGTGTTTTCGGGGATGCCGAACATGGGTCAACCGGGTTGAGGTCTTCAAACCAAGAGCCTTCATCCAATCCATGGTGCGACCTTCCATCCTGCGAGGCAACAAGATCGATATCCCTGTGGCAGCATCAGAAGATGAGCTTCGACACTCCCTTGGCCTTTACACCCATATGACCTCAGGCTGGACATATTGGAGCGTGAACTCTCAGCCACGAGGTAGGTTGGATTCATTCATTTCAAAGTTTGAACCGGAGTGCTTAACAATCTGAAACATTCGTCAAATCAGAAATCATATAAATAACTATAAAGTTATAAAGCTACTAGTAGCTTCTTGCTACTAGTAGGAATGGCCTCCACCCTAGTAGCGATCGCCTCCACCTAGTAGTGTCCTTGCTACTGGTAGCGTCCTTAGGAGTTATATACTGTTCTGATTCTGTACCAGTATCCCGTCCACACTCCTAGTGTCAAAGGTGCCACGGAAACTTCGCGACTGTTACGCGAGTTGGTTGCCAGGCTTCATCGTAGTCTTAATGTTGAAAGTGTTTGGCTGGAAGTCCAGATTCAAGACAGCAGTGGAGACAAAGGATGGACCAAACCTTCTTTTGTCAGTTGAGTGGTGTCAGTTTTTATATGCAAAAATCAGAACTGCTTGTTTTCTGTAGCGCAGTTGATCAAGGTCTTCTCAGGTAGTCTCAACAATCGGTACAACCACAGCTTGACTGAAGTTGTGTGCTCAATGTACACATATTTGCCAATGTGACTTATATATATATATACTTATAAAATACTCAGATTAGCACTCATTTTCACGCAAAAAGTACGATCCTGCAAGTACGATCCTGCAAGATTGTTGCAAGCAGAACCTGACAGGTAAATACGTGAACAAGGGAGAGCAGGCAGTCAGACCTTTGGAACTCTTTATGTGCTCCGTGGTGAAGCGCAGCATGGCTGATGGTATTTCACGGCTTAGTGAACCCGCTTCTGGGGGCGAAAAAACAGTTCAAGCACCTTTTCTATCGCCTTTTGGCCTACCCTTCTACCCGATTTGGATACAGATGTCTACCATTGAATGCCCACTAGCCAGCTTGCTGAGGCATGGGATATGCAGAGGCCTTTGATTGGCTTGCAAAGCTGGTGGCCCGTCAGGAAATTCCTGGAGACGATTGTTACAGACCATTGATACAAAGTAGCAACTAGGGGACTAATGGTCGTAGATGGCCTATGCTGCATGAGTAGTGGCAGATTACTCCAAGTCACTGCGATTGAATGATTCTTGCTCTGCATCTCAGGTTTGAACTGCCAAGCCCAAAAGCATCTTGACGATCACCCAATTCGGTAAGGTCCACCAGCAGAGCTTTTGATTGATAGTTTTATGTTTTGTATGTTCGTTCTTTGTCAAAGGCAACAGACAAAGCCCCTTGACTATACAAGATGTGTTGTTCAGCAACACGATGCAAAACCACTATTGCCTTTGTCCCCTGCACACATTGGTTTTGGCGACAGGATCCTGATGATATACAAAATAGAATATGCGTCCACCGCAAATGGTCATGCTGTCAGTGAAAAGTGGACATGGCAATGCTTGGTGTCTGTGTGTCAGTATGTGTGTGTCACAATCCTCAAGAGCTTTGCGACTGTGCAGACGGGCCTTCAAAGATGCATTGCAATCTTTGGCAGCTTTTGGTGACGAAACAGAGACTCTTAGGATCTCTTGGGGTTTCTCAACAAGAACGCTCCGGCTTTGGGCCTCCTTAGCCACTGATCTCTAACACATGCAATTGCACAGCTGAGCTCGCTGAGCTGTGGCCATTGTCCGTAGCTCCGTCTGTTAGTTGTAGCCATACCACATCGTAGCACAAGTTTGTCCAGAGGCGAGGCGTCCAGCACCACCCCGATTTTTTGTCACCAAAGTGCTCTTGCGTTGCGTCATGCAAAGCTTCCGGTGCTCTTCGAAGTCGGACGGGCGCATTTTACCTTTTACAGCATCACATGCACGGACTATCACCCTCGAGAGAAAGAGACCTTGGTATGGCTGAGCCAGAAGATTGATTGTCACGATGTCGCATCATTCATGGCAATTTAAGTTTGTTGCTACTTGTAGCTAGTAGTCAGCTTCACAACTTTGCACGTAGAATATCAGAAAGGGTTTAAGAATGTTCAAGATGGGTTAAGTGAGGCCGATCATCCTCAAGATTGGGGGAAGTGAACCTATCTTTTTCTGGTCCATGGCTGGACGTTGTTCGTAAGAATGTAAAGGCCTTTGGCAGATGACCTTGAGATTTTGTACTTCCGTGTTTTGCAGTCAGAGTTTGCACGTCCTGACACCCCTTTGAAGCATGCCCGACAAAGAGTGCAGTTTCAGGATAACAGAATGGCTGAATCCTTGCCGTTCCGTTCCAAATGACAAGCGGACCGTGCAGAAACCACCTCCGCAAAAATGGGCGTTATGTGCCGTATGCGTCCTGCGCACCTTTGCTTGGATGTGAATACAATGACATTAATCATTAAAGTCTATCAACGGGCTTGATTTTACAGACACACGTTCTTGTGTTTTGTTTTTTGAAGTTGCCATTTCTGGTGGGCCTACAATTTGACACGCATATGACGCATATGTATTTAATACGCTTCTTATCTAGCATGTGGTACCTGATGATCTGGACACAATCTGCAGTTGTGCAAGGCTTCGGTCTGAAAGGTTTCTTTTCCAAGGTTTTGGCCTGCGTCATTACGCTCATCATGGAGGGCTCTGGGATCATTAAGGAAATGCTGCCGGGGGACCTGAAAGCGGCGTGCGGGGTATGGTGCGGGCCTCACCCTAGACTCCTTCGGAAGGACTTCCTCGTGTCCTTTTTCGGGACAGTGTTGGAGCGTTTGTTTTTTCGTCTATCAATGTCCCGAACAGCTTGACATGGCGAGCCACCACGATTTAGAGAATATTCTCTGCGCTAGAAAGCCTCGCAGGTCCTGGAGTCAGCTCTGGCGCTTCATGATCTCCGCGTTGATGTTCACAGCAGGCTCTGGCTTGGTGCGGATCCCTGTGGATCTCGGATCATGACATGTACTGCATCCTTGGAAAGTACAGGTTCTTGTTGTTTCTTCGTACATGTGATCATGAACATCAACAACTGTCAAGATGTATCATTATATCAAGATAGACTTCTGCAAAGGGTGTTGATGTTGGATCGAAAGTCAGAGGACATTGGACATCCCATCTTGTAAAAGAAACTTTCCTTTTTGCTGCTCCAACGCGCATGTTGACCGCAGCTTATTTCCAAGAGCTGAAAGGAACAAAGGGCGCAATGGTGCCTCATGCATCCTTTGACTTACGCGTTTCTTCAATTCTTCGGTCCACTACACATTTCGTGCCACACCTCCGGCCAAGACTACAAAGAAGTGCTGACCCCCCGCACCAGATGTTGAATTCTTGACAGAGTGCATTGGGGGTAAAATAGGAAATGACCTGCCAAATCCCATGTCCTTCCATCATTCCGCCGGCTTGGCAGCTGGCCCCAGGTTTTGGCTGCCTACTGCGTCGGCACCAGCCCAGTCGAGGTTGTTTGGAGCCTCTGCAACCTCTAGGAAAACATCCACCATCCTTATGGCGGATCCAAGATCCGATCCTCCGTGCCGTCCCGCATCGCTCCGCCGTGCCGCATCGCTCTGGTGCAAAGCCAAGGTGACCTTCGGATATAGCTACATGCCCATCTGCGCTGTGCCTGGCTCCCAGAGAAAAGACCAGTGAAGTGCCTCGGTGCTTGGCCGACTCAAATCGAGAGGAAGTGTGACAGGCAGCCTGAGTCAAGCTGCATTTGGGAGTGCTTTCAAAGAAGAACACAATCCAACAGGTTGAACCAAGTTGAAGGGCCAGGGCGGCCAGGGCTGTCTCTCAATGTCTCTCAGAGCCTCAGAAAAACAAGGCTAGGGCGGCTGCTTTGCGCATCTGCTTTTCGCATTTCTTTATCTCAATGGAACGTCCAGAATCACCACTAGGCCTCGTGACCAATTGGAATGTATGACAATTCAATTGGAATCTTGAACGCTATTATATATTTCTCCAGTTTGTCGCCTTGTCGTATTCAATGAGAAGTTTCAGCACCCAGGCTGAGCTACTTTGCTTTCAACAGGCACAGCTGGCTTTCGAGTGGAGAGATTATAGGAAGCAGGTTCCTTTCTGGAGGTCATGAAACTATGGCCCAACCGTCAGAAACCAGTGCCCAAATGCGATGTTTGTTCATGTGATTCATGTGTGATGAATGAAATTGGCATCAATGATGCTCTTCGTCATTTATATATGTTGAATATTCGTCATTTATATATGTTGAATATATAATTGATTGTTTCATGAAAGGGCCTTCATCCATGCTCATCATTCATTGGTGCAGTGTGTGAGGCGGTATGGACGTTTGGAGTGGCTATCAGTCAGCAAACTCAGTGCTGGATTCAATTTGATGTTAATTAGACACCTACACAATTCCCGTGCTCAGATTGAACTCGTGATGAGTGAAGCTCCGAGCCCAAGGTGGGTATGCTTACCTTGGGTGTCTTGGCTTTTGTCCTGCCAGAGCCCTGGTGAATGGAAGGAACAGCTCAGTGGAACATCTCAGTGGTGTCTTCGCTAAACTGAGTTCTTTGCCAAAGCCTCTTTGGCTAAAGGACGCTGGCTGAAGGGGCACGTCTGCATGGCCATGAGGATTCCCATCCGACAGATGAATGGAAAGGTGACGATTCTTGAGGTGATGCCCGAGAGTACTGTTCGCCAGCTCAAGAGGCAGCTGAAAGGCTGGCAGGTCTGCGAAGAGGAGCTGACACGTAAGATGAGTAAGGTAGATCTCATCGTTGGCGAAAAGCAGTTGGTTGATGGTGACGAGACTGTGATCCAGGCTGGAATTTCTCCTGAGGCTACTGTACATGTTCTTTTCAGCATCACCCCCGTTGAATGCTCCAGCAAGGCAGCGGCCGGATGTGATTTAGACTCTTTGATCGTGGTGGACATACCAGAAGTCCAGAGGATTGAAACTGCAGCGTTTAGCAATTGCAGCTCATTGGTCAAGGTCACGTTTCACGATTCTGTGAGAGAAATTGGGGATGGCTCCTTCAAAGGCTGCAGCTCTTTGGAGATTCTCTCCCTGCCTTCCCAGCTCACAGCCATCAGGAGAGAGGCCTTCCAAGGCTGCAGTTCTTTGCCGCATGTCACAATTCCCGATTGTGTCATCGTGATTTGGCCGCACGCATTTGATTGCTGTAGTTCCTTGTTAAGCGTGACACTTGGCCAAAGCGTGGAGCTCATTGAGCCTGGAGCTTTCAGTTCTTGTAGCTCATTGAAGCATCTGACGATCACCAATACCCTGTGCTACATCGGGAAGCGTGCCTTTGCTAATTGCACCTCTTTGCAAAGCGTGACCATGGGCGATTGGAAGCGAATGGAGTTTCCTGAGGGGCATGCGAGCCTCTATTCTTGTGAGGCTTGTCTGTAAAGTATGTGCTTTTTTGTTCATCATTCCGAATCATTCCCGCAAGTTGAGCAAGTTGAATGATGTTGAATGTAGCATGTTGGAGTGCCTATCGGCCTATTGACGCAATCCACTTAGGTACCCAACAGAGTGAGAATGATTGAGCAAGAAGCCTTCTTGGGGTGCAGCTCCTTGACGAGTGTGACAATTGGCACTTCCATGGCCATTATCCAGGCCGCAGCCTTTGCAGGTTGCAGTGCTTTGGCCAGAGCGACTTGGCTATGAAGTCGCAGACATAGTGGAGCAAGTTGGAGAACCGATGCCTCGAGAAGTTATTTACCTTGCGTTTTTGGCATCACCAACTCACCAAAAGTAGCCTCCGTCAAAAAGTAAAAACGTCAGATTGCGATGTAATTTACCAACACGGCCCCTCCTAAATTCACTTCGTTCGCAGCAACTGACTTAAGCCATGGCTTCGTTGCTTCGAAGTTCCGAAGAGCCGGGGCCACTTCCAGCTAGGTCACCTGGGTGGCCTGTGGGGGTGGGGCTGTGTTAGCCAACTGCTTTTCAGTGCATGTGCATGCACGGGGTGTCAGAAGCGGAACACTTCGTTTACAAAACGGTGCCGTTTGTAAACGGTGGCTTGCTCACTTCCACCCATGGCGGGGGATTTGCTTCTCAAGCGTGCGTTCGAAAGCTGGTTGAGCCTCATGTGATACGCTTTCCCTCCTAGTCTTTACTAGCTTTCGTTTCCCCCTTCTCAGGTTCTGAGATGTCCAGATCTTTTTCCGACTATTGGAGATACAGCCGCACATCCTTTGAAAGGAAGCCAATTGTGCCTGCTTGGTGGTTCTGAATTGATCGGCGGAATGAAAGGGAGGCACTTCAAACTCACGGACGGTCCCTCGCCAGTCTGTACGCGGAATGAACGCAATATATTCTTCTCGAATGCGGTCCAAGTGGGCTGACATCTGAAGACTTAGGGCCCGAGGAAATCTGAGAACGCCGGAATCAATCCCTCGTTTTCAGCGTGGTCACGATTTCCACATGTCCTTGCAATGTTTGCTGTTTCAGTGATGTTCCATGATGTTCTATTTGCATCACGCAACACCCAGGTGAAACTCCTATGCGCAGTGACTCGGGTCGAGGATGGGGCTTTTGATGGATGCCCACAGATTGAGCGTGGCTTGACGGTGGAAGAGGCTAAGCGGATCGGGATTCCAGGGCTGCGGAGGTGAGACACAGCTTGGAGCCGAGGTGTGATCGGTCCCATCTCAACGTGAAGACGGACAGAGTTTTTGAAGACAGTTGGCCTGTGGGCCCGGAGTTGGAGGAGCTTGCCGAGATGTGGGTACAGTATGGTACAGTACCTCTAATCATTCTTCCATGCGGCGATGCGGACCATTCTTCTCATCAACTGCGCTGGTTCCTCCATAGGCAATGGACCATGACAGCTGCTTGACAACACCTGCGATGCATCGGCTTCAATGACAATCAGGCTATTTCTTTGTTTCTGGTAACCGGGTTGCGACTGTTTGAGCAGCTGAAAAGGATGTGTTTGTGTGAGGGCACTTGCGAATGCTGAACCCCATGTCCATTCTTTTGAAGTTGGATGCCCCTTTTGTGTTACCGTACTCCTCATTTGGCTTTAGCAACAGAGCAACTGTGGTTGAGGGAAAGTTTTGTTCATGCAAGAGATGTTGTGGCTCTGAAAATGATTCACCGAAACATGATTCACATCATGGAAAAGGTTGATCAGTCTGAAACCACATTTGTGTGGCTCGTCTCGCCTCAGACCACCAGCTTGAGGCTTAGAGAAGAGTCTCGAGAAGGGAAAGAGCTAAAGCTTCTCGGCTGGAGACTGGAGCATGGCCCAGCTTGTCGGCTTCACAAGGATCATGTGATGACCAACAAGAGAGGAACTGACAGGAAAAGCCTAGACCTAGATCGTTCAGAGAAAGTAAATCGATTTTAACAATATTGTTTGCTTTTTCACTCTACGTCTATGGGTTTACAAAGCTCCTATGCCATTGAATCGGTTCAGCCGTTGTTGATACATTTGCGGTGTCCTTCGTGTGTCGTTTTCGTTCTGCGCCTATTGAAACTGCACCGGATTCTTGCACAACCAGGTTTCAGATGAAGGGCTTGTTGCTCGTGGTGGCGCGCTTCTCAGCACCACAGAGAGATCAGTCGAGAAATCGCTTCAAGTGGCAGTACGACCAGGTCTAGGTTTGCAAAGAGACCGCTTGGGGTAAACTCTTTTGGTGTTGCTGCTTGTCATGATGGCTAGTTCACCCAAGTAGAACCAGATGGTCTTTAGGTCGTAAAAAAAATCTATGAGACTTGAGATTGGTTGTCCGGATCAGTCAATGAAAGCAGAGTGGAAGACAAGCTTCTACCATAAAACGAGGCACTTATAGGAAACTTCACTGGCAGTCACTAGCGGCACTAGTCCAGGGTCAGGGAAAGCCGAAACAGCAGAGGCTGTACAGCCACGTGCAAGGCATCAGTCGTTTGCAGTGCTACGGGCTCCATTTTAGCAGAGCGTGTCTTCAAGGAAAGGCGCGCTCCACTGGTCCAGTGTCTTCAGAAAGTGGTGAACTGCATGGATCGCCAGTGCATCAATGGTAGTTACAGCAAAGAAGAAGCGTGGTATACGTGTCGTGGGCCAAAGCTTCCCAATTTGCAACCGAAAGCACATCCCAGGAGAGTCAAGTAGGGTCTAACAGGTGGGTTGTGAACTGGTTTTTTGCCTTGTTCTCTTGATTGCTGTCATGAATCAAAGTATGTCTACCGATGAACCTTCATTCGAACCAAGTGCGCATGCACTTACAATCACACCACTTGCCTGCCTGACTCTATAGGAGCAAATATATCATTGCATGTTTTCAGTGCCTCTCCTTGTCTCTGGACAATGCAACGTTGTCGGCGGACATCGTAGGTCTTTTGGAGATGCCAAGCAAGACCGGTCCGGAAACTGAGGAAACGCGATGTTGACACCATGAATTCTCAGTGCATTGGGTTTAAAGCGGCTCCTCCTTCAAGACACTTTTGGCCAGCCCCTTCCCATCTTGTTGGTGAAGAGAGAAGACAGTCTTGCAATGAATGATGGCTCCCTACAAGGATGCCTTCAAAGCACACCAGACAAAGGGAGGTTTTCTATACATGCTTTCTTGCTCCAAGATGTGTAGGTACCGAAGAAGAACGTTAGAGACCTGAGATCTTTGGATTTCGTGAGTGAAACGTAAAAAACACGGTCACCGTGACGCCCTTGAGCCTGGCGGCCCTGCCAGCCCGGTCGCCAAATGCAGGTTCTACATCATGAAGTTTCACTTGGACCTCACAGCCTTGTTCACCGCTGTGCGTTACCGAGACTGGTTGCTGGATGTGTTTGAGGTGCAAGATCGCTTTTGCTGCGCAATGCAAGCATCCAGTGCAGACATGTGCAGCCATGAAGACTTCTAAGAAAGGGGCTTTGCAGGCTTCAGCTAAACTTTGGTGAGCTCCGTTGTTCAACATCTCCACCGTGCCGCTGAATCTGAGAAACTGCATGCACCAAGGCACTTTTGTGGTCCCTGCCATTGAACCGATTGGTGGAAAGCCTCAGAGCCGATCCTCAAAGTTATCAAACCTACGCCATGGGGACCTTGTGCCGGTTGAATCCATAGTGTTCGCCACAGGTTGACAGGTTGTGTTTTTGAAACAAATGTTATTTGTTATCGGTTCAAGATCACAAGTAGGACGTGCTTCAAGGTAGCACGCAGCAGCATCTTCGGAACGTTACACCGCTACAGACACAAGAACGATCGGGAGTCAAAAAACCGGATCCTAAGCTGGGTGATGTAGTCTTTTTGTCCTTGCTCCTAGTAGCGATGCCCTTTGCTCCTAGTAGCTTCTTGTTCCTAGTAGTAAGGCCAGGAGCCCCTAGTAGCGTCCTTGCTCCTAGTAGCGTCCTTTGCTCCTAGTGTCCACAAACTCCAGTCCACTCAGTCTTCTCATTTTCGAGGTGGTGGTTAGAGACTTCATGCTTAGATGGGAAAGAAGCGAGGAGAGACCGGGCTTCCGATCAAGACAGAACTGAGAAGCGGTCAAGCTGCAAAGGCTAAAGGAGAAAAGCTGTTTTCACTGAACACTTGACGACGACATCTAGCTAAACACCACTTGCAGGTTCACTGTGTTTGTACCACCTGATTCGATGACGGAAAAGCCAAGAAGGGGCATCGGCCGGGCTATGGGCCTTTGGTATTCTTCTTGTTGCGACTTGACTCATTTTGCTCGCGCTGCGCAGGATTGGTTTGGCAACTGGGGAACGTCGCAGTGCCTTGGCGAATGGTTGCACCAAGCGGTACCGAAATCACATCAAATCTCAGGACTTGGAACGATAATTGTGATCTTGGGATAGACATTCAATTGCCTAGGTGTGCCAGTGTTTTTTTCCAAATGACACTGCAGGATGTGGGCGATAAACATTGATCCCAAGCGAGGAGAATGATTCCACATGTGAAAGTCACAGACATGGTCATACTCTGAATCCTCAGATGATCTCAGATATGTGCGGTATTGTGCGGTGGTCAATAAGGGCCATTGACTTAGTAGGTGAACACCATGGAATCACTGGACTTTACCATGCAGCATATGCCATGGTGAGCTTCGTCACAGCCTGGCTTGGCACTGCTCGCGGGACTGGAAGGACTGCGGTGGCCAGTCTCGCGTCACAATGGGCTGCGCTGGGTGGTGGTCGCCGAAGTGCAGTGATCTCGACGGCAGACCTGGATGCAGCCAGACATGCCTTTGGCCGCCGGAATCAAATCTACCTCTTCCAACTGCTGGCCACCATCTTCGAAGAGATACCGACCAAGAGTGCAGCTAGGAGTGCTCTCCGTGAGGGGCGAGTTCGTCTTAATGGCTCGGTAGTGACATCTAGCACCACATGGGCGGCTGAGCCAGGCGACTCCCTCTCCCTGGATCAACGCACCAGCAAGCTCGAGATGTCCGATGACCTGGAAAAGCGCTTGCGAAGCTGGAACGAACGCAAGAAGCGAGAGGAGGCTCAGATTCGTTTGCTCCACTCTGATGACGAGAGGGGTTGGGCAGTGGTGAACAAACCCGCTGGCCTGGATTCTGCACCATGGGCAGAGTCGCACAGCAACAAGCGCTTTACCTTTCAAAGTTATTTGCCCACCGTTGTTCCTCCGCCGCGCACCGGGTGCACCCCATGTCCTGGCCCTCGAGTGTGTCACCGCCTGGACTTCCGTGTGGCCGGGCCTTTGGTAGTGGCCACCTCCGTGGAGGCCATGCGAAAACTGAAGGAGTTCTTCGCCAGACGAAAAGTCGAAAAGGAATATCGTGCCATTGTTTGTGGCACCCTGGCAGACGAAGAGACTGAGTTCACCATCCAGGAGCCCTTGGATGGGAAAGCCTGCCGCACGGATGTGAAGGTCCTGAAGGTCGTCCGTTGTCCCCACTTCGGTCGCCTCAGCATGCTGGCCCTGTGGCCCAGGACCGGCCGGTACCGACAGCTCCGACGCCACTTGGCGGAGGTTCTCGGAAGGCCGATCGTCAATGAGGATGAAGGTTTGCTGCGCGCAGCCTTGAAGCACTGGCAGGGGCCACCTTTGCAAGTGTCTCGTGGCCGCGGCAACCTATTCCTTCAAGCTATTCAAGTCACAGTGCCCCCCTTGGACAATTCGATGGATCGTGTCACTGTGCGTGTGGCCCCTTCAGATCGCTTTGAGGAACTGCTAAGCCAGTCACAAGATGCTTGGAGCCGTGGATGGAGGACGGATGAGACCACCGGCCGCTCCATCCGCCTTGGATAACTTTCCCGGCGGCAGCTGAACATTGGCTACAAGGCTGAATCCATCCTGGAAGACCAGCCAAAACAAGATGAGGACACGAACTACGTTTCAATGGTCGATGCGAATGGAGTCTGACCTCTGAGTGGAGATTGAGTGTGCTTGTTGTTCGGGAATCGAAGCATGTCGCTTGATGGACACAGTGGACCAGGAATATTGCCACAGAGTCATGGATGCGAAGACAACGAAGGGAAGAACACTAAATGCATTTGGTCGCGTGCTTCTCCATGCTCATAGCCAAGTGATGCTAAGTGAAGTCCAACATAATCCAACCAGCATATAAAAATTGAACGATGATATAACGGATATAAGCCGTATATATATATATAATATATATATAATATATACTGTAATTCCTCATCATCACATCTCACGACTCTCCATGAAGTTTGCACTGGGATGACTCATTGTCACATTGTCCACCTCTAGGTGCCTCATGGTCTTGGTGATGGTAGCTCACGGCTGGGCTGCAGGCGGATTTCAGAGACCGACTCGCATGCCCATGCTTCGCTGCCTGACAGTGGCCTTTTTGACAGAGCCTTTCAAGGTCAGTGACGAACACCCCACGGCCAGGGGTCCGAGGGTTCGTGCGAGGGTCGGTTCGGCGGTTCAGTTGATTCCTTGCATGTTACTACAGTAGGTAAGCTGAGGGAAAGAGGTGTGCTTCTCGAGGATTCACATTCAGCACTCAAAGCCTCCCAAATCATCCCAAATCCACTGCAATGGAACAAGCCAACTCGTTTCAGACTCACGCCTGCACAGCGAAAAACCCTCTCTGCCTGGCACCGAAACGTTTGACATTGTTTGACCACATAGATCGATGGGGCGGAATTGGTGAAACTTGTGAAGAGCGTTGCTACACGATGTAATTGCACATGTAGCCAGCAACTGCGTTATGCAGCACATCAACAAGCGAGTTTGAAGCAACGTGATTCCGTGACATTCCAGCCACTGCGGCTGGCAAAGTAGTGCTGCAGAATTGAACCTTGAAGGATGTTGGCAAGCAATCATCAATAGTTCAGAAGTTCGCGGCTTGACCAAGCTATTTTCAGACATGGTCACGTTACGGTTGAAAACACCACGCGTGCAAGCCTCAAGTCAACGTTTGAAGCAAAGCAAACAGATAAGAACTAGCGGTCACGCGATGCAACAGCCAGACTGCAGACCAAAGACATGTGGACCACAGCACAGAGGCTTCGAGGGCAAGTTACAAATCCTTGTTTGGATATGTTTGGATAACCAAAAGGATTGCAGGGCCCGGGTGCTGCTGCTGGAGGTGCAGACAACATTTCTGACTAGGAAACGGTGAAGCTGTGTAAGGCGTAAGGAAACAAGGCCATCAAAGACAGAAGCACTGAAACCAACTGACGTGAGGCAATTTTAAGTTGCAGGCCAACACTCTACCACACACCTGCTCTGCTTTCCGGACAGTTTGACGGATAGGTGTCTTTTGCCATGTAATTGATCGGTTTGTATTTGATTTATCTTGGTTGACATGCAAAAGATCCTATTTTCGCCACATGGCCGACCACCAAATCATTGCCTACCTCCACGTTCTCACACGATGACGTTGACGCCTTTGGTTCACCTTCGCCAGGTCTCATCACTCGAGAATTTTCCACCGTGATTCGCTCCATCGTGCAGACACTGGTGACGCGGCGCAATGACTGTTGGTGCAACACAGTGAAGCCTGATAAGAACATTAAGAAATATTAAGAACATTTAAGAACCCATAAGAACTATGATATAAGAACCCAATCATTGTCTGAATCCCTGTTTGCTGTGAGATGCTTTGTCTTTCTGGCCAGAAGGCAACGAAATAATGCGGCTTCAGACTCCTGAGTCTTTTAGCTTGACCACTGAGACAAAAGAAGGACCATGTGACACAGTCTTCCATGATAATTCGTTTTGTCTCAGTGGTCAAGCTAAAAAGATCTTTCAGAAAGGATCTCTTCGCTTTTCCTGGACACGTCGCTGACACGTCGCTGTCGATCTCTTCGTGGCGTAGCTTTTCCTGGTGCACCTGAGGCTTTGCTCAGCTCCTGGTTGATAGGTTCGGGATGTTCGGAGCTTTGGTGGGATGTCGGCACACTGATGGGCAGGATCTGGGTGGAGATTCTACGCCAGGGCCAGGGTCCAGCTCTGGGGTCCGTGGTTTTCTACAGGTGTGTGTGTGTGTGTCCTATTTTCATCCTCCCCATGGTGACGGGCTTTTGTGGTAGCCTTTTTCCAAGGAGCGACCCATAAAAAGCTCATCCTGGCTTCGTTCTTTGGCGCAGCGTGACAGGTGACCCTTTGCAAGACAATCGGCTCAATTTCTTGCAGCGCTGCGTCAGGATCTTAGACAGCAGACATATTACATACATATATATATGCGAATGGAAGTGCAGCGACATGTACAGTGCAACATGTACATATATATATGTACCATATGTACTTTGGCTCAAGGATCAAGCGACTAGAAAAGGTGCGGTTTCCGTTCCGACGCTACGCCGCTTATGGACCGTCAGTGATAGCTTCAAACTACGCTGATTAAGATCCACTCGCAGGTTATCAGCCGTACGCGCTCTTTATAGCCGTACGAGCTACACGAGACCGAGAACAAGACTAGTCATTACAGAAACCTGCAATGTCAAGCTCAGGAGGAAATGGAAGCGAACCCTATTCATTCGCTGCTCCTGGTGGTCCCAACACCATTTCGTCACCAGACTCTACAATGGGTACTGATTCATCAGCAGATGCTGACGTTATCACTATGCCTACTGGATCACAAATATCGGAAAGATCCGTGCCACCGGCTCGGAATCTGACCGACCTTGCACCCGTAGGACCAAGAAGATCAATGAGAGCTACAACAAGATCTACATCGCCTATAACGTCTACCGCGAGATCCCCAAGAAGGAGTATAGAGAAGAGACGTGACGATGATAGAGGAACAAAAGAGCAAAGAAGAGAGATTCAGCTGGGTGAAGAATTGAGATCGGCGAGAAACGCATACAACTTTCTTCACCAAGAATATGAATGCATCCAAGCCGGATACTCACGACTACACCACGAGGCTGAAGTGGAGTTCAGGCAAATGTCTGACTACAACAGGAAGATGCAGGAACATCTACAGGAGATGACACAGGAGGATGAAGGAGCGACAATAAGAATTGAAGAGCTCGAACACAAGCTACGCTTGGCGGAATCAACAGCTGAACATATCTACATGAGATATCAAGAGCTTGCACAAGAAACTCATCAAGAACATTCAGAGCTTGAATCTGTGAAAGCAACGAAGGACAGAATGTCCCAAGAGCTTCAAGCAGCAATTGGACACATCCAAGACCAGAATGAATCTTCATTGGTGATCAATAGAAGATCAAAAGCCATTCAGGATGAGAACACAGCCTTCGTTGGGATAGCTGACCAGATACAAGCTAGAATGATTGCGCTACAGGATGAGAATGTCAACATGCATGAGGTGATCCAACACCAGAGAGAAGAACAATGGAACAGTGAGGTCAGGGAGAAACGTCTTCAACACAGCGTTCACTCATCTCAGGATCAGAGCAATCAGGAAGCTATGGTTATTGATCATCTACGAGGTCAACTAGCTATGGCACGTGGAGCTGAACTCAACGCGAAAGCGGAGATGGGAGAGATGGAAGTGGGCATGAGGATGGAGATGTTTATATGCCAGACTGAAGTCTCTGCTAAAGAAATGGCAGATGCGAGGGCGAGCCACCACGAATACGAAGCAAACGTCGCAAAAGAGGTCATCGCAAAAGGAGAAATATTCAACAACGAAGTCCTAGAAGGTTCCATCCGTGAACGACAACAATTGAAAGACGTCAACCTCGCTCTATCCGAAGCCAACGCACAGCTGAAAAGAGAGAATATAATGAGAGCTCCTATGTTCGGCGATGATGGTGCAGAAATTCAACAGAAGATTAGAGAACTGGAAGATGCACTATTGGAAAGCCAGAAGGAGACAAAGAATGTCATTATGGAAAATGCGAAATTAAAAGCAGAAGCACGAATGGCACCCATAGTCTCTCGGTACAGCAAGCGTCCTAGTTCCAGAGACCGCGGGTTACCAACCCACGCGTCCGAGGAAGATGAGGTTCGGAACGCAAAAGAGGAGGCGAAATACTATAAGGACGGGTACAATGAAATGACAGAGAGCCGAGATGAGATGTATGAATGGTATGCCGAAACCCACAATGAGTACGCCGAGGAAAGGGAGAAATCAATTGAGCTGTCCGAGGCGAACAAATCATTGAGGGATAAGATTTCAGAAACAGAGGCATCCTCTTCATCTCATCTTGCACCGGCAACCTCTACTGTCATGAAGGTATCGAGGAAGGAAGAATCAAAGATAAACGTTCCGTCATGGCCCAGGATCAATGATATTGGATTATGGAAGGCAAATCTCATTCAATCAATCATCATTGCGGCCAATGATTCAGATCAAGAGCCCTGGATCGACTGGATCAAAGAAGCCATGGACGATCCTGATCCGGACAAGTTTGTCGACTCAGGAGACCAAAGATTCCATTCAATCGATGCTAAACTCGGCCTAGCTCTTACCAAGGTCGTCATGGATGCGAAAGATGATGGTTCAGGTGTAGCTATGAAGTTGAGGACGAGGATCAATGCAAAAGGGAGAACATCAAGCCTTATAAAGGGAAGAGAGGTCCTAGCCCTGATCCTTATGAACTTCAAGACAACATCAAATGTGGAAGTCTTATATACTTCAATGCACCTCTACCAACTAGAATATCAAGGAGACAAGAACTTATCGTTGTTCTTCCACACTTGGGATGAGATTCTGGCAGGAATGAAACCCGTTGACGTCCCGAGCGACGAAACTCTTCGGGATCTCCTATGGAGAAAGATCAGGAACTCAAACCTCATGGCATACGACATCAGCGCCTACAACAGCATGAACGACGATGATGCCAAGAAGACATACAAACATCTACGTGATATGATCAGAAGGCACATCGAACGGCAAACTGAAGACAGAATGATCCTGGAAAAGGAGAAAGCAGTGAAGAATGTGGCCAATATCTTTCAGAATCTCAAACCAGGCGGACCTGCTCCAAAACTGAAAGCTGCACCAGCTGATCCGAAGAAGAAACCAAAAGGGCAACAAGAACAGGTTGTCCCAGAAGACGCTGCTGCAGTGAAGCCGAAACCCAATCCCAAGAAGCATCCTGAAGACAAGAACAAAAAGGGAAAGGGGAAAGGTAAAGGTGATGGAAAGGATCGCAGCCGAAGTCCGAGTACAGACAAAAAGAAGATACCGTGCAAATTCTTCGTGAAAGGTAACTGCACTATGGGGAAAGATTGCCCATTCAGTCACAAGAAACCCAGATCACCATCCAGAGGACCTTCTGTCGGAAAGAATGACAAGCCAGTATGTTGGATGTGGATTCGCGGAACTTGTGATAAAGGGAAGGATTGCAAGTTCTACCATGACCCAAAAGCCTCTCCTAAGAAAGGGATATCTGCACCAGCTGACTCAGGAGACGATAGGCCAAAGCCCAAGGCAAAACCCAAACCGAAACCTAAGGCGAAACCTGGAGCCCCAGCCATTGGCGGTGAACTCTTCATGGACGAATCCGAAGATGAAGGGGTCGCCGCATCCGCCAAGGCGAGAGAAGGAGGTGCAAAGGTATCCTTTGATGAAGAGACTTGTGAGATCATGTTGAACGAAGCGATCTACTCAGTCAGGGACAAATGGAAGGTAGTAGAAAAGAAACCTCTACGTCCGGACATCAAACGATATGATGAGAAAGAGCTCACCTGCTACACGAGGAAAGAACAAATCAGATTTGAAGAAAAGGTCGCAGAGGCAAGGGGCATATTGATGGTCCCCTACACTGAGATCAAGAGGGTCCGAATACCAGTTGGACCAAAGGGTGACCTATCGGTCACTATGTCTTTTGATGAATATGACGGCCTAGTTTTCCATCATAAAGTCATTCCTCATGTATGCGAGGGAAAGAATGATCATGCAGACACAAAGACGTTGTCTATTCCAGCCAAAGGATCAAGAACGAAGTTCATCATGGACACAGGATGTGGGTATGATCTGATATCGAAAGGCAGAGCCAAGAAACTAGGTCTGGAAGTGAGAGAAAGCGACCAATCAATGTCATTCTATACCGCAAATGGAGTGACATCCACAAAAGGGGTCGCCGACATTCATTTCGACGAATTTGACTCTACCTACTCCCCATTCGTCCTAGATGAGTCTCCTTCAGTACTGTCTGTTGGAAAGAAATGCATGGAGGAAGGATACACATTCATATGGCCAGCCTGCGGCAACCCGTACATGATTTCCCCGAACTACAAGAAAATCATGTTAGAAGTAGAGGGAAACATCCCATATATTGTCAAGGGCAGTGACTTCTGTACTCCCACCGACGATACAAGGGCGGAGATGATCGCAAGGTTCACCCTAGGAGAAGATGAAGCCGATTACCAATCGACTTTCATCAACTGTGATGTGGATCCTCAAGGAATCATGTGTGATAATGACGACCTTCCTGTGATTGAACCTCCAAAAGTCAAAAGACGAAAGAGGAATAAGAAGTTCAAGGCATCTCCTGGAGAAGAAGATGAGGTAGGATCGGATGTCGCCGGAGACAGTGAACCAGAAGCTGACGATGATGATGCAGATGACATCGAGGTGGATGTTATTGACGGTGCAAGTAGAATGGTGAGAAGAGGAACTCTGAAAGCAGATGCCAGGAAAATCGAGCATCTACTCACACATCGTTACAAGAACCCCTACTGTGAGTCATGCATCAGAGCAAAGATGAAACACTTCAAGACGCATCGGGGAGCGTTCAAGAGAAAGCTCAAAGCTTTTGGAGACCTGGTTACCTTTGATTTTGTCGATACAAGGAACATCCTTGATCAAGGGATCAGTACTGATCGAGAGATCTTCGTCATTCGTGACAGGTACACAGGCGTCATATGGGCCTATCCGTCGAAAGAGAAGTTTACCAAGGACGTGATCAATGCAATAAACCACTTCAAGGGATTGAAGAAGATCAAGATTGCTTATGCCGACAAAGCCCCAGAGTTTGAGACGGCTATGAAACAGCTGAAGATCCCATTCGATCACTCTCTACCGAATCATCCTCAAAACAATTCTCTGGCGGAGAGGAACAATCAGTTCATTATGATGACAACCGCAACTTGTCTCTTGGAAGCGGGGTTACCACCATGTTTCTGGAGCTATGCAGTAGAATGCGTCAGCCATCTTTTGAACATTGAGGAAGGAGAGGATGGAGTGAGCCCTTGGTACAAGCTACATGGGAAAGAGTTCC